AATCTGGGGTCCTCCCTAAAAATTTGGACATCGATTTAAGGTATTAAAAACAGTGATAGGATTGTTCGTCTCCAAACAGTATTGTTTACATTTTGTCCGTTTTGATAGCTTCGTTTGTCACAAAATTAGTTTTCTGCAATGTTCTGCTATGCACTGGGTAATTGGGCGTAATAAAATCGTGAGTCATGATCTAACGTTATATAAACATAATATTTGGTCCAATTTCGAGCTCTGTTTAAAGCCTAATGATATTGCTACGCAGTAAGCTATTGGTTGTTAATCGGACTATTGACCAGTCATAATTTAGAACAGAAATTTGCTTTCATTACAGCAGTGTTAATTGTGATTAGGTCTAATCGAACGAAACACTGCGAGGACTATGTCTGTAAAAGATGTTCACTTTTAACATGTGGCATCACATCACGCGAAGTCAATCATTGGCTCAATGGCGCGCGTATCGTTTAAGACGTTACTGGTCTGGGCAGAATAGTGCCTTTTACTAATTTTACCTATTTACACTAACTAGGAAAATTTTCTTACCTACATATACCTCAAACACCTTTATTTATTTTTCTAATGCTTAAAAAAATGTTTTAGAATTTAATTCACAGATGGGAAAAAAAGTTAAAATCGCGAGCTCATTAAAGGACAATATTGGTGCCAGTCATTATCACATATGCGATAGAACGGGTTAAACATGTTACAAATATTATTTTATCACAGAGATCATTGCTACAATAGATGCGTAATCAACGTTTCAACAGTCGGAAGTGACGAACGCAAAGGGAAAACGTGAGTTATCCCTCTATATAACTGACTGAAGTGACGGGTGATAACAGGCACATGGGCGAATTTCTGCTCACTAATAATACCACGTACAACCCGGGAAACGAAACCACACCAGTTGACTCAATGGCAGACTTTATTATACAGCGTGCACGCACTAACCATTCGGCCATCCAAACCCCCGGATTGTAAACAAAGGGTATGTGCAAAAATTAAAAGGCGAGATATGACATACGGCTGGGGCTATTTGCCACATGTGGTAAGACAATTCGGAGGCTATTTGCCACTTGTAAGTCTCCGTACCGCAATTATCAACCGATTTCAATTACACTTACAGATCACGATAACATTAATAATATCTCAGAGTAGCCAAAGTTTTGACCACTTCTGGTAAGCAGTTTCAGAGATATCAGGTTACCACACATTTCATGTGGCACGGCTACAGACCGCAATTGCCAACCGATTTCAATGACACTTGCAGATTATAATTACATTAATAATATCTCACAGTAGGCGAAATATCGACCACTTTCGGTTAGCGGTTTCCGAGATAACAGGTTACCACACATTTCATGTGGCACGACTGCAGACCGCAATTATCACCCGATTTTGATGAAACTTGTATATTATAATTACATTAATAATATCTCAGAGTAGGCAAATTTTCGACCACTTCCGGTTAGCGGTGTCCGAGATATCAGCTTACCACACATTTCATGTGGCACGACTGCAGACCACAATTATGAACCGATATCCATGAAACTTACAGAATATGATAACATTTATGATATCTCAGAGTAGCCAAAATTTCGACCACTTCCGGTTAGCGGTTTCCGAGAAATCAGGTTACCACACATTTTATGTGGCACGGCTACAGACCTTAATTATCAACCGATTTCAATGAAACTTGCAGATTATAATAACATTAATAATATCTCAGAGTAGGCGAAATTTCGACCACTTCCGGTTAGCAGTTTCCGAGATATCAGGTTACCACACATTTCATGTGGCACGGCAGTTGTCATTTGCCAAAATAAATAATAAGCTATATTCTTGAGCTATATTGAATATCACATACGCTAAAAGCCTTTTAAACTAATATATAAAGTTTTTGATGGGATAAAAAAAATTGCGATCTATTTTGCTTGTGTTATTAATACTTAATATTAAAGATGTCGCTTGTAATTCAGGGTGGCGGGTCTATGTGATTTTGTGAGTTGAGGCCAATTTTGAGCTTCACTATTTTGATTTGTTTTCGAGCAACGCCGTGGCCCTCTCTTCGCGGAAAATCGTTAACTTGTACAAAAATGGAATCAATCTATTAGTAGTACTAATAGACCCCCGCCCCCATAAATGTATACTGTAATTCACCTCCTGCGAATTCGAGATACATACAACAATAACTGTACGTCTTGCGTACATTGTGAAGAGTTTTGCATTCCATTAGAATAATTGTACGTTGTATGGGTGTTAGTAAACATTTTACTCGCGTGAGTACACTGCGTAAATGGGTGCTATATACGCCAATGATACTGGTTTGTTTTGAAAAATAACTGGATTCATATGGTGTTATGGTTCAAAGTTAAGGGACTTCTACAATTTTTTTTTCAGAAATAATTACAGTGCCAAATGTTAGAATTGGTTTGTTCAGAAATGGTAATGAATTCAATTGGTTTGATGGCACGATCTTGATTTATCACAACTGGGGCACGGGGCAACCAAACATATTGTCAGAGGAAAGTGTAATGCTAAGAATTGTTAATGGATACAGGTGGCATGATGTATCGGATCAAACACTAATGCCTTTTATTTGTGAGATTGCATTGTAGATGGAAAGACCACTACTTCCGTTCCTTGGGGTTTTGGTATTTGATAAAATATACAAATGGTGGGAGTATTTTGACAAATAACGTATTGACTATAGAAAGACAAACGAAGGATCGTCAGATTACCCAATACGCCCAGTAGCAGTAACATTGTCTGTGTTGGTTCAAAATCATTGTAAAATAATTTTGTGAAATGTAAGATTCCTTATGTCCAAATGAACAGTCTCAAGTTCTTATATTTCCTTTATGAACCCTGTCTTGTATCGCGTTCACGAGCTGTCAAAAATTTGAACGTGAATAGGATAACTTTGTGAATCGGAATCGAAAAATTGAAATTCGATAGGGTTCCTCCTAGAGCAAAATACCACGACATTTTTAAAAAGTCCCACCGAGATTGTTGTTCTGTATCACGTATACACAAGCTTTATACGTCAGCTAAACCAGTTTGAAATGTACGATGCAAAAAAATCTTCGTACCAGAAGGATATTGCAGTAGTTGATAAGACTAAAGATCGAAACAACGCATGGAATGCATCTTTTGTGATCAAATGGCGGATTTGACGAACGGACCTCAAATTAAAAAAAAACACGTCTTAAACATTTAATTCACTTGTATCTCCATGCTGAGTTCTGAATCTTTCAGCTTATCAACCAATTTGATTGTTATTGATTTTTGACTTATGTTCAGAAGTTGTTGTTTGGTGCCTCATAACATAACTACTGTGTTGTCATCGTTCAACTTCCGCATGTTATTTGTCATCCGGGATTATACATCAATTCAACAATTGGTTATTTTATTAAAGGAAACATGCGTGGACTTGAAACTGTCCAATATTTGTGTGTCATCTGCAGAACAGTGATACAGAAGATTTAATTGTGTTTCTTTAGAAATTCGCGTCGTCTTTTGCATACACATGAAATTACAATGTCGATTTAATTATATTTGATTGAATAAGTAAACAAACTGACTTCCGCTTTCGAAAATGTAACATGTTTGATCAATATACAAATTGTCCCAGCATTAATCTAAATAACAAATAGATCAAACCAAATCTATACTTTATGTTGAGTCAAATCAAAGTGGGTTTTATATCCTTTTAAGGAGAGGTCCCACTTTTACCGGTTCAACAGAAAAGACAGATACATGTAAGTGCAAATTAAAAGCTAATATGTTAATTGCCTGAAATATTGGAACCGTTTGGAAATGGTTGACGAAAATTTCTTTTAGAGCGCGTGTCTGCAATTTTTAATTGAGTGTCTTCGTTGGTGCAGAACAGTAGGACGTTAAATCCCATTTCATGTCTTTCATTGCGGGTCCGAATAAATGCGACTATTCGGTAATGCGTGTAAACTCTGGCAACTGGATTTGGTATTTCTTTCTAAACGGGGGATTGGGTGGCCGAATGGTTCACGCGCTTAAGATCACAAGGTCTGTCTTTGAGTCAACTGGTTTGGTTTCGATTCCCCGTTTATACGGGGCAAGGAGTAGAGTTGCTTGTCCAACCTCGTGGATTATCTCCAGGTCCTGCCACTTCTAAAGACCCCCTATGTGCAAGCGAATTATTGAAATAAAAACTGAATCATATTTTAGACCCGAAATGACCTTGTTTGTATCTTCACGTGTTTTGATCATGGACAAAATATCTGGGATTTCTCATTTAAAGACCCCCTATGTGCAAGCGAATTATTGAAATAAAAACTGAATCATATTTTAGACCCGAAATGGCCTTGTTTGTATCTTCACGTGTTTTGATCATGGACAGTATATCTGGGATTTCTCATTTAAAGAGAAGTTAAATATTTTCATGAAATATAGGTTCAGTTATCAAAGCAAAGCCGAAAAGTCTTTTTGCCTGCACACCAAAGTATACGCAAACAACAACTTTCTTGCACAGAGACAACAGGCATGTAGTGTTGGGGTGCCCCATGTACCGAAAATTTTCCCTACTAAAATTGGTACTGCACGCTTCAGTGGCTTGTCTCGAAGTGATTTCTGCCTAGTCACGCACTCTGTTTGAGTCTATAAATAACCATCGCACGTCAAATTCTCAACACATCTATCAACTATTGCAGCCGTAAAAAATCTATTGTTGACGATTTTGAATAGCAGTAATATTTAGCTTTTTGGTTATTACAGCAGCTTTAGAAATTACTTTCGTTTTATTTTTTAATTTGCTTTATCATTAACTTATCGTTAGGAGCGGCATATTTTGGTTTAGTACAAATAATATCTCTGAAAAACTCGGATATATAATTAACGAGAAGGTAACACCCAATTGATATTCTATTTCGATACTGAATGATCTATTCTGTGTAATGTAAAACGAAGGTTGTAAACTACGAGACATACCGTTTTATTGTTCATAACCATTGCGTAATAAAATTCTACCGAGGTGAAAATCCAGTCCTCACCTCAAGTGTACTTTGATATCTCGAGCAAAAGAAATCAAATCTTTTATATAATTGCATAATGCGCCTGGTCGGGTCGATCCTCTTCAAAAATATGGGTCAATCTCTGTCCCGGGTTGAGGTAATATAGTGTTTAACACCAGTTAGCTCAGTGTAGGTGTACCGCCGTGCTTACTGACACCCCCCCCCCTATTTGAAATTAATCGGAGTTAAGGTCTGCGTTCTTGAGGTTGTGATAAACATGGAAATAATTACACCATGTGAACACGAGTGTCTCAACTATGTTACCCAAACACAAACTTATAGTATCTGGTCGGACGCTGTCCTCTGGCCGTTCCTTTTCGTCCCTATTAAGCTGCAATATGAAAATACCACTCTACCCCCATCTCTGTTCTAAGGCTATCTGAACAATACCAGGAAATTTTAGAATAATATCTCTAACGCAATGTTTTGACTATATATTCTATGACAAAATATACACAATAATAAGCAAGAGTACTCAACTATAAAAGGCACACAAGACAGATTGTTCACATACATTTATAACGTTAACAATAAGCACTATTCTAATGTAAAGGTACGATGTTGAGGCTTTAAACCACAATGTAAACAACCACTACACAAACTAAAAAAGTAGTCATACACTTAATATTAAATTAATGCTAAGCTGTGTTGATTATTTTGATGTTGATTTAGCGACGTTTAAGTTTAAGAAAATACTGCGGAGTAGACATACTAATACCAAAATAGCCTTCAGTACTTAATTCACCAGATCCGGTTTTCAGTACGGTGAACCTTTGTAAAATATTACTGAAGAACAGAAAGAGTTCCATTCTCGCAAGTGATTCACCAGGACAAATTCTAGAACCAGCAGAAAAAGGCACGAAGGAAGGTTGCTTTTTCAATTTACCATCCCCACCCAAGAATCTTTCAGGCTTGAAGGTCTTCGGATCGTCCCAATATTTAGAGTCTAAATGACAGCCGTACAAATTAGCATAAACCATAGATCCTTTAGGTATCAGGTATCCGTTGACCATAGCATCCTCATTAGCCATGTGCGGCAGCGATGCGGGTGCTGTATTTCCTAGTCTTTGAACTTCCAGGATGGTAGCTTCGACATAGGGCAGCTTTGATTTATCGGATAAACTGACCATACGATTTGAACCAACGACAGAATCAATCTCCTCTTGGCATTTCTTTTGTATATCAGGATTGAGAATCATATAAAGCAGTCCCCAGTCCAATGAACCGGCTGTTGTATCTGACCCAGCAGTAAATAAATCTATTATGGCTCTCAACATACCGTTGTCATCAAAATAATCCGTTTTTTCTCGGTTGCTGAGACAAGCATCAATAAAATCACGAATATCATCTTTGTTAAAAGTTTCTTTGTGTTCCTTGATTCTGCGGAGAATAAAGCCTTCTACGCCAACATGAATTTTCTGGAATCGTTTGTAATAACCCATCAAAAAAGGTGTGAATCGTAGAAGAGGTAACACATGAATTGGTCCGAAAGCTCCTTCATTTCTAAAAGCACTGTCCACAAAAGCTATGACATTTAGAAATTCAGTATTGTTATAGTCAAACCTAGTTCCAAATGCGATACCACAAATGATATTGGTTGTGGCTTTCATCAAGTACTTATGAACACAGACCGGTTCTCCTTCTATATCAGATAGTGCGTCTAATAGTGCACATACTTCTTCTTTGAGTTTTTCTTCTATTGATGATTTACCAACACCCAGATCACGAAGAGCATGTAGGGACGTTCTCCGGACTGTCTTCCATTCATCTCCATTCGACCAAATTATGCCTCTTCCATTTTTAGTTGCTAGATTAATTCCCCATAGTTGCTCTGTTGGTCTGGCGGCGAACGTTTCCTTTTGCTTAACAAACACTTCGTTTACAGTTTGAAATGAGTTTAACACTACCACTAATTTTGGTCCCAAATATATTCTGAAAATGTCTCCGTACTTTTCTTTTAGTTCCTCGAAATATTTGTACCGCTTTCCGACGTACGCGCCTCTCATATTGAGTATATTACCAACAATTGGTAAAAATCGAGGTCCTGGGGGGATGCCGGCTCTTTCTTTCATTGAGAATATATATGCAACTACCAACAAGGTAATTGTTGCTATTAAAATTGTTGTTGTGTCTAATGATAGAAGAAATCCAAGTATACTGGGCATCGCCATACTTCTTTAAAATATTTTATAAAGAATTACACGCTCGTGTATAAGATGTGTAATGCCCGCTCTATAAATCGCAGGTGTACATACGAAATCACGTTTATATACTAGGCGTGAATTATGCAAGTCATTCAGTACAAAGGTGAAAAACCGGGCCTTATTATGGAAGGGTATCGCTGCCTTTATATGCTCTGCTAAAATATCTTTTCCATTGATTATATGTAAAAAGTACCAAAGGTAGACACGTCAAACAGCATTTTCCAATAAAAAATTTGACATTTGACACATTGCATTTGACATTTTACATTTAACTTTGGCCTAAGAGGTAATTTGACTTTATCATTACCGGTATTAAGACTTTGTACATTGTACATTTTACACGTAATCGACAGAAAACACATTTTAGCAGAGCATTTAATATTGGCAGCGATACCCTCCCATACCTTTTTACCAGTGTACTTTGATACCGCGAACAAAAAAGCTTCAAAGTCTAAATGCAATATCAGGGGCGGATCCAGGATTTTCAGAAAGGAGGGGGGGGGTGCTGCCCCCACTTGACGCGCAATCAACCAAGTTACCCACCGGCTCGTTTCGGAGTAAATTACGACGGGAATCACTGCCATTTTAAAGTATTTCTTGGTCTCCTTTCCCGGGAGAACATATGGGACAAAAAATTGTTCGCCCCCCCCCCCTAGATCCGCGCCTGAATATTAGATGAATCATTTTTAGCCCAGATAAACATGTAACGTGCTGGCTTATGAGTCATTTTAATTTTATTATAATGCTGACATATTTTAGAACAGTTTGTACCTTTCGTTAAATATTAAAGGGGCAGTGTTATCAGTTGGATGGATTTGTCACCAGTTTACTCTACAGCCACAGGCCACGGTTGTTTTATATATGAAGTCTATATGAATTAATAGCAAGTGAATATTCAAGAGCACATCTGATTAACCATTGTGATATAATAAATTCGTCTGAAAACTAATTAAATATGGTCAGTATTTTTTTAAAATTCATTTCAACAATTTTGTACCGGTTTAACGCGACCCAATTTGAACAATAGTAGCAATCAAATTCCTAGTTGAAAATCTACTAACTCTGAGATGATTTTAAACTGATATAGGAAATGAAATGAAAATGAAATGAAATTTAACGTGCTCTGAACTGGGCTAATGAAGACGGGCATACGCCATACCGTGTGCTATGAGGGAAATTTTGCCCTGACAGTGGCACTACGACCTACTCTTATATCGAATTCCAACTGTTAAGGGATCTTTTACGTGCACTCCAATGTGTATACGGGACCTCTGTTTTTCGTCTCATCCGAACGACTAGACAGCTGCCCCTCTCAGGTCCTTCCAAACTCGGGGTTTTTCTCCGGGTCCACCGGTTTCCTCCCACTGCTAAAGACCCCTACGCGCAAGCGATTTATTGAAATAAAAAATTAAAACCATATGTTAGTCCCGAAATGACCTAGTTTGTGTCGAGTGGACGTTAAACCCTATTTCTCTCTCTCTCTTTGTCAGGTCCTCCTTCCTACATCACTGACAAGGGGGAACCACGCCGGAAAATCTGGATGAACTTTCTCGGCAAATGCAGGGATCGAACACCCGACCTCCAGGCTAGCGAGCCAGCGTCTGACCCACTTAGCCACCGCGATCTTCCGCTGATAAAGGAGCTAAACCTCTATAACTCATGATTATCCATAATATTCAAAATTAAAAACATGAATTTTTACTCAATATTGGTCCATTTCAATTAATATAATAATATTACAAACATGTGTACATCAACTGTCAAATTATTACAGAGATCATTACAAATGCGAAACCTACAGTGATTCTGATTTTTTTTCCTTTTCCAAAAAACATAACAAAGAACACCCCCCACCCCCATGGTTAACGGCGTTAAACAGGTTAGTTACTCTTTCAGATGTCCTTAAATGAAAATGGGTCTGTAATTCTCCAATTGACAGGATGGGTCACATAATATTATGCAATTTATACAGAAGAAAATCGTGCCAAACACAATCAAAAGCTTTTGCGCTGTACAAGAACGCCACTTAGACAGGGTTTGGTAAATGATGATATAGACATTCACCTCCATCAATGTCACCGGTTTTATTGCGCTTCAACTTAAAGCAGATTATTCTGATTAATAATGATAGACTAATCTGCTTTCAGCGAGTACTAGTTTAACGGGTATATAGCTCTATTCTACACGGGTTTATAAAATTACCATTTTGTGATTTAGCCATGCAATTTTAATTATTTCCGCATTGAAATGGTTTCTTTGTTCATTACAGGTGGCACTCGAAACCATTTTTTTCTTAGTGTACTGATTTTAAAATGGTCATTGTGTCTTAAATATTGGATATTAGGATCTCATATTTTCACAGTAAGATAACAAAAATCAATATTAATTTTGAATAATATGGATAATACTGAGTTATATAGAGGGTAAGCTCATTTATCGGTTTAAAGTCGCTTCTTTACAAATGGTGCTTCTGGAATGTGATTCGTGTGCCATTTTTAAAATTTTCATTTTGTCTTAAATACTAGATATCAGTAGTCCATCTTTTCACAGTAAGATATTAACATCAATGTTGATTTAAACTGGCCATAAGGTTTGCAATGTCGAAGACTGTGGATGATATTGAGTTACAGATACTGGTTCAACTGAATTAAAAATATCAGTTTTCAAGCGAATTTATTTTATTGCAATGGTTAATCAGATGATCTCTGAATTATTCACTAGCTATTAATACGTGTAGATTCCATAAATAAAACAATATGTGGCCTGTCACTGTAGAGTACAATATGAAAAATGGTGACATCATGCAACCGATAACACTGTCGCTTTAATATTTAACGAAAGGACCAAACTGTTTGAAAACATGTCAGATACATCTTCAGATTATCTATTTGTTTTTTTTGGAGGTTGTGTATACATCTTCAGATTATCTACTTGTTTTATTTGGAGGTTGTGTATTGATCTAACGGGTTTCCTTTTTTTTAGATTTTTTATTCCACATTAACATTTGGATGTTAGGGACAATGCTTGCGAGGCAGAATTTATTTTAAGAACATGGTATAGTATTATCAATACACAAGTGGCTTTCATGGGCAACAAGAACAACATATCTTTTCAAAACTGTACTTAGTTTTATAATTATTTATTTCATAAGTAATGGAATTAATTTACCCTGGGGATCTGAGTATTACAAAAAAGAATATGCTCAAATGATTAATGACAATGACTGTGATAGAAATCAATGCTCATGCACTTATAAAATTATTTCTATTCCTACCCGTTAAATCGAGTAATCAATACTTCATTGTGGATGACGACGCGGGCCCGTAGCCAGCTCTTAAAATTTGGTGCGGCTACGGAATTTTTTGGAGGGGCTGAGGATGTGGCCGGCTAAGAACGCTCCTAAGAAATCATTATTGTTGGCGAAATATTTGGGGGGCTAATTCGATTTTTTTGGGGGGTGTGGGGGGCTTAGCCCCCCGGTGGCTACGGGTCCGTAGTAACGATGGGGCGACAGATGGAGACGTCATGCCCATTAAACTTGTAGATGTTTTAGAAAAGAATGTGACGAATAAAGATCACGGCACCAAATTGCTGTGATCATAGTTTAATTCAATATCTGAAAAATCATAAACAAATATACTGAAAGGAGCTATTCTACAATAAATGATACAATCACTTCACGTAACGACAAAGTCACGCCAGGTAATGAAATACGCGCATCACATAATGACAAAATCACATTTAATGACAAAACCACGTCACTTAGTGATGTTAAACACATGAAATATGCACATTAGGCAACGACAAAGTCACAACACGTAATGAGATACGTGGTGTAGATGCAAAGGCTGGGCCCATAAAAATTCTATTAGTTCACCACATCATGGTCTGTAATGCGATGAACAAAACATTCGATGCGATAGGCAGTCTGGGAGAGAGAAACATCCAACAACAACGACTTAGATGGACAATCTGATTTTATTCAAGCAACTATAAATCAACAACCGATCAGAACACAGCGTATTCCGAGTCTCGCCAGTGCGTACCACAAACACAAAGTGTCTAACCCGTTCGTACCCAAACACGTTCCGTCCTTAATCCCCCTCCTGGATGTGACGATATCCAAAACATCCACTATTACCGATGACCGATGCGATTACGACCGATCCATCACAGACCGTCCGAAGTCTAAATAATTTCTTCTGTCTGTTCCAGGTGAAACTACGACACGAAAATTGCTTGTCATTTCTTCAATTTTTAATTAAAACGGCTAAAACTAAGTGACATACCTGGAATTGCCATCCCATCATCCCATTTCTTTCTTACACGAGGGAACTAATTTCAGATCAAGCTATATAACTTCTCTGTCTTGAAAAATCGTGGTGTTTACATCACGCTACTGAACATCACCCATATTAGACCTAGTTATCTGGAAGAGTCGAAGAGGGAGGGGGCGTTCGTTTGGTCACGAGTCGTTTCGGCCTACATGGATGTTAAGTAAGTTGTTTCGGCCCAGTAGAATATAACTTTTATTTTTACGGAATCCAAGACCGCAGTGTTGTTTGTCTAACTGACTTGAATAATTAATTGGCCCCGAGGGCTGTAGCGTTTTGATATATATTGATATACTATTCAAAAAAAGTAGGGGATATTTGATTTTGGGGGCATAATACTAAAATATGCAAATGACTACGAAAAAAGTCACTATAGAACCTAACAGAAGAAACATTTCCAGTTACATGTGACGCCCAAACGCACCAATAGCTACCGCATGGAATGCAGGTGATGCTTGGGATCATCATGGGGGTCCAACCCAAGATTTGCACGACTCTGACTTTGAATGTTACAGTCATTGTGGCATTGAATTCCAGGGTGGAAACATCAGTTTAATTAACAAAACTATACAGTTATATGGGACAACAATCACTGGTTTATTATACACAAGCACGACGTTTCGATAAGTATTCTCTTATCGTTATCGAAATACTTATCGAAACGTCGTGCTTGTGTATAATAAACCAGTGATTGTTGTCCCATATAACTGTATAGTTTTGTTATGTTTCCAATTGCTAAATGCCACTAAAGGATTATATCAGTTTAATTGTTTTAGTGACCAGAAAACAAATTTTGATATGCGTCGGCTTACCCAAAATGAAAGGTTACGTGCCCTTGGCATGCTACAGATCGGCACAACACAGGCGGTTGTGGCGCGGACGATGAATGTTTCTCAGTCTGTCATAAGCAGGCTATGGTCCAGATACCGTGATACACAATCTGTACAGGACAGACCACGCTCAGGTCGACCAAGGGCGACAACTCAAGCCCAGGATCGATTTATCCGTACCTTGGCCTTGAGAAATCGTGTCATCACAGCAAATCAGATCAGCGCTCGTCTTCAAACAGACACTGGTGTGAGAGTGAGTGGCCAGACGATTCGGAATCGACTGCATAGGGGTCACCTTCGCGCCCGACGTCCTCGCGTGATCCCTTGTTTGAGAGATCATCACATTCAGGCAAGACGTCGTTGGTGTAGGGATCGTCAACACTGGGATAATCGACGCTGGAGCAATGTGATGTTTTCAGATGAGTCAAGGTTCACTGTTGATTTTTTGGACAGACGTAGGAGGGTGTGGCGTCGTCGAAACGAGCGCTTCCAAGACGTTAACGTCATCAGACATGATCGATTTGGGGGTGGTTCTGTTATGGTGTGGGGAGGCATCACTGTTGTTGGAAGAACGGCTTTACATGTTGTTGCAGGGCGTGTTACAGGCCAGTACTACCGGGACAACATCTTGGCAGTCCATGTTGTGCCGTTCGCACGACGTCATGGCCGCCGTTTCATCTTCCAGGATGACAACGCAAGATGTCACAGGGCCAGGATCGTTACAGGTTACCTCCAACAACAGAACATCACCACATTACCTTGGCCAGCACTGAGTCCCGACCTCTCCCTCATCGAGCATGTCTGGGACATGCTTGGACAGAGGTTACGTCAACGTCAACAACGTCCTGCCAATGTCCAAGAACTTGCTGCTGCGTTGCAACAGGAATGGGACAATCTGGACCAAAATGACCTTAGACGTCTCATTAGGAGTATGCCACGTCGGATCAATGCTTGTTTGGCAAACAGAGGAGGATTTACCCGTTACTGACTTGGTTGTGATGCTGTGGTAACTTTGCTGTTTGACCCTGGGTATCATTTTACCCTTATAATGGTCAGTCTGTGCCTTACTTAGTCTAACGATCATTTGGAATAAATCGATGAATGTGAACTTCATTTCATTTTGTCATTTGTTTCTTCGTCAGTTTCATTAGGTGACTTTAATAACACTTAAAAATCAAATATCCCCTACTTTTTTTGAATAGTATATAAACTACATACAAATTTTATTCTGAACTGCACGTAATGGGAATTTGGAAGGAAGCTATAAGGGTACACAATAATAACTCGATCCATAATATGCAAAAGTAATCGCGGGTTGCATAGGTAATATAAGTTATTCCGTTGCTTAAGACTTTGCCTTGAGAAAATTTAAAGTTGGTTTTAGGCTGGAGTAATGATCAGACTCATTGTATATGTAACCTAATTTCTCGTGAAGCCTACAACAAAAGTAAAATGATTTTTATATAGTTATGGCTGGCGTATTATCACCTTCAATCAAGGTTATGCAACGCAGAACACGGCATATATGTGACTGTGGATGGTCTCGCTTATTATATAATTTTGTCATTTTCCGGTTTTGTAGATGGGCCCTCCTTTAAAACGGATTTTCGGATGTAATTAATGCGTAGGAAATCTCGTTGTTTGAACTTATATATTGTAAATAATTATGTTTCTCGAAATAACTACATAATAGTTTGGTTCATTCCTTGATATCTCGCACAATTTTCATCTTGAAATAATATACTGTAGATAACAGTAATCAATTCAATTATTCAAGGGTTTATATTTTCGAAGATTCGCTTTTTTTTCTTTTCTAGCGTAATATCTGAAATAATTCTGAACTTTTGTCCAATAACAATACTATGAATATCTATGATACATCAGGAATATTAAAATACCGGTATTTATTTTGCAAAAAAAAGGGGGGGGGGGGTAGAAACAGTTCAGAACTTCATGGAAAACTTTAACGCGTTCCGTAGTCTTACATTTACAACCACAGCAATCAACACAGCCTCGTGGAATAACGTTGAGATTTATTTATTTTGTTGCTTCTTTAAAAGGAGTTGACGTTAAACACATGAAAGATGTCATCTCCAAAGATAGTTTGAACTTAAAATAGAAATGGTTATTCTGTTTTCATATTATTATTATTATTCAGCATCAACGTGATTAATTTGTCCATTGCATTAAGCATGCTAGTGAATTATACATAATCCTGTCGACAAATATTTATCAAAAATGTAGATTCCCACGGTTGCCATTTTACGCTAATAAACTACATTTCTTTTGAGTTTTCAGTTTCGTCTTCTAGTTCTAGTTGGTCTCGTACTCTCGTAGGAAGTGAGAAGAAATATACTGTGGTCTGAAACCGGCTGAATTGGAAGTTACGTCCCCTTACTTTGCTCTTTTATCAAGAAAAAATATAGACGGATGCCGCCGATGAAAACATTTTGTGAACATGCGACATAAATAAAGCACAATTTTATGAATATTTTATTGACAGAGTTTCTGTAGAAACAATGGCCTTCATCATAAAAACAGCACAGACACTTAGAAACCACTGGAAAAAGTCTACGGCTGGTTTGATATTATCTTTATACGGCATTCGATATGTCAAAAATCGTTACGAGTAAGTCTTGAAACTTTTCGTTTTGTTTACAACTTGAGTTGAAGACCAAACTGAAAACCCAAAAGAAATGTAGCTCGATCGACGATCACACTCACATTTCGTCTTCTGAACTTTACTTATTAAGATCGAATTGTGGGTTTTCTAATGAATTATCAGGTCAGGTAGCATTCGTCATCTGTATTAAAGCTACAATTTCATATTTTAAAGTTATATTTTTAAAATTTATTAAAATAAAGCCTTAAAATAGATGGTATCCATAAACCGCCCTACCTTGTTAAAGAATAATCCTATTAATCCTATAATTCACTATTGCCAGCTGAGAAATTGGCAAAAATATCATTTTCAACATCAAATTCCAACGTTTGAAGGAAGCTAATGCATGGAAGTAATAGGAAAACAAGGGAGGTAATTGTGTAATTATTTCCTGTGTCAATGATTTTTAATGGTGAGAAATAATGCCCATGATCGTATAATAGTGAGTTGATAACCTATTGAGCAAAAGACATAGAAATAATTATGTTTTGACTTTCTTAGAAAATATGAAATTCCCGCTTTAAACTTAAAGGTCAGGCACACAACTCAACATGAAGTATCATATCTGTCAAAGTCAAATAGAAAACTTCAACTACATGTATATGTAGAAAAGCAGTGTTAAACTACATTTCAATTCTTTATAATTAGTTATAGGCATAGCCTATAATTAGATTTCACTCATGCAAAATAGGCTACTTTGATTGACCTGACAAGGACAGCTGTATAGTCCTTCGGATGAGACGAAAAACCGAGGTCCTGTGTATACATTGGAATGCACGTAAAAGATCCCTTGGCAGTTGGAATTCGATATAAGAGTAGGTGATAGTGCAAAATTTCCCTCGTAGTACACTGTATTGCGTATGCCCGTCTTCATTAGCCCAGCATAGGAGCAGAACAGTAGGACGTTAAACCCCATTTCATTTCATTTCTACATCTTAAACATATATTATGGAAGAGCTAAATCTGCCTATTGCAGGTATTTCTACTTACCGATATTTTTTGGAGAATAAAACTGCTTAATTTTGTGTTAAAATCCCTTAAATTCCTCTAGCTAAGGGCCGAGTAACTAACTCAATATTTGTGATACGTTTTCGAACAACTTAAACCCGTCAGTCTTCATCTGGAAATGGAGACCGGTGTCCTAAGCTGTATTATGCGGTGTCTGCATAAAACTAGACTTTTATTTTATAATAATAATGTGTAGGTTAAATTTACCTTTCTTTATCAAGAACAATGTTCAGTACATGGGTCATTCACTATATAGACCTCCAAAGGAACGGGGGTCGGTTATCAGGTCACCCAACAAAAAAACTGACCCGAAATCTTAAAAGGGTTACTTGTCCGGATAAGCAGTTTTGATGTTCACGTCCAAACGACTCAATATTTTGAGCTGGAATTTTGAGAGAAGGTAAATACACCATTCCTCTATATTTTGGCACTTAAATATCATATGTACTCCGACTTTTATTTTTGAGACTCTTTTGAAATCGGGATAGTCCCTTTAACTGAAATGTTATCTAAACTATTAATTAGACATTAATTAAAGATACATTATGGGAGATAAGATAAAGAGATGGCAGTTCTCGCTATAATAGTTAAAAACTAGATAGTGTCAAGGTAATTTGCTGAAAATTTCAGTCAAATTAATCCACTGTGAGCCGAGAAAGAAGCAGGTGAAATTTTTGCATAGTCTCGGTCATCATTACTAAAATCATTAATATAAACAGCATAGTCTCGATTATCCACTTTTATTGATTTAATTATCAGTAGCCGTTAGCGGCATATAGGAATCTAATCCAGCCAACATCGAAGGCAAGCCTTGACATCGAGAGTTTATTATGGTCTGGATAAGTTAATTAATGTCTAATTGATAATTTAGATAACATTTCAGGCCTAAAGAAAGACTTGTAATAAGCAGATTTTGCTCTTGCATAATGCATGTTTAACTTATCCAGACCATATTTAACTCCTGATGTCATCGTTAGCCTGTGATATTTACTGGATTAGGATCCGATTTGCTGCTCAACTTTCATTCATGATTAAATCATGAAATGGATAATCGAGACCATGTTTTTTTATCGTACTGACTTTAGTAATGATGGTCCAGGCTAGGCCGAAAAATCAACACTAAATTCTCGGTTCAGAGTGGATCAATTTGACTAAATTTTTTAGCAAATACCCTTTCATTATCTAGTTTTTAACTATTATAGTGAGAACTGCCAGCTCTTTATCTAATCTGCCATAAAGCATCTTTAATAAAGCGTATGCATGGATGATATGAGTCTAAATTTAAACTGAATGTTAAGAATACTACACTTATTTTAACCTGCCACAGGACATCTCTCTCACAGATATACCTGGTGACACGTGGTATCCGGTGCTCTGTGAAGCATATGCTGCATTGCCATGCCATGCATTACATAAATTTCAACTTGGGGCAATATTAATGCCCTAAGGGTGTTAATGTAAATAAGTGTCTGTAGGGCTGCAATTTGAATAATTGATAATTTTATCAACTGATGTGTGTCAAGAAAGGTTTGGCTGGTTAGTATCGATTTGATATACAGTTACATAGGCAAGCCATCACAAAAAATATTTCTCTTTAGGATGCAAATTAATGAATTTTAATTTAATCAAAATTAACATTTATTTTCTTATACAGATCTTGAAGTGATTTTTCTTGAGTTTATCAATGCACACACAAAAAATATTACTCTTAGTTTGGTGATTATTATTTCATATTAAATTATTCAAAATTTATTTTACATGTATTTTTTGGGGAGGCTAATAAGAAATAAATGCTTCTTCATTCAACGCAAGACATCATCCACCCATTTGGTTTTGCAATTTTATGCAGCATTTCACTTACATTGCAAGGTAAACAAAACAAAAAAATTATGTATAAATTTTTTTTAATACAGTTGTAGGTTGACTTTAAGTATCATGATATTGATATAATTGCTTTTAACATTTCAACCCTAAAGTTCATCATGTGTCTCTTTATTTGCATTTGAGTCTTCTTGAGAACAATATGCTGGTGTAGCAAATTCAAACTGATATTCACATCGACTTGGTTCTGACGTGGACAGAAGAGTATTTTCCATTCCACACTGTAATAAAACTTGTACAGATCGATCAGGACCATTCCAGCAATTCTGACCTTTTTCATATTTCATGGCTGAATACTTATCAGTTTCATCACCACTCCAATGACCCCAAACACCTAAGCTTGTTTCAGTACCACCACTTTTTGGTCTTTGTGATGCTTTATCAAATGGACAAAGTTTATATGTATACTCTCTATCAGTCATCTCAAAACATTGACCTTTTAAACTTGCATACACATCTTGATGCCCAAAATCAAGATCTAGGAAGCTTTTTAAGTTGTTCATTTCAGTTTCTGCCTCCCTAAGTTTTCTATCGGCATCATTAAATTGATTTCTAGCCTCATCAGCTGCTGCAATTAGTTGTTTAGTTTCTTCATCATAGTCAGGCATCTTATCTTCATCTTCTTCAGGTGTTTTATTTTCCACATCCTGAATTTCAGATACTCTTTGTTTATCGACATCCTCTTCATCATCATCCCCATCATAATCATCTTCATCATCATCTGCAACATTTGGAGTCAAATCGGGCACTTTTTCTTCAGTTGATTGGCTGTCTTTGTCACCCTTAGCTACAGAATCTGATTTCTTGCTCTTAAATATTTCTTTGATGTTCGGCCAAATCTTTTCTATAAAGTCATCTCTTCCAACTTTTTCTAATTCTTCTAAATACTCCTTAGCTTCATCATGACTGACAGTTCCATCTGCATCAATATCAAATTCAGAATGTGCCATTATTTCTCCCATTTCAACATGCTGATCATCATTAGAATCAATCTCATCAAACACAATTAGAGCGGTTTGTTTTTCCTTTTCTGCTTTTCTCTTCGCCTTTTCTTCTTCCCAGGCTTTTTCATGTCGCTCTTTGGCTTCTTTTTCCGGTGTTTCTGCCTCAGTTTTTTTGTTCTCTAAATCAGTTTTTATCTCGGCCATCTCATCTTTTTCCTTTTCAACTTGATTCAGACGAACTTTCTTCTCCTCTCGTATTTTTTGACCTTGTTGAATGTAGTTCAGTTTTATCTTGGAGCCTTCCTCCTGTAATTTCTTTTCTTTTTCCTTTTCTTCACGGTCTTTTCTACCGATTTCTTCACAGAAATTATGACACTGAATCTTCTCGCCTTCAAATTCGTCTGACCCATCACAGCAATCACAAATTCCATCATTCACTCTTGAAGACAAGATGTATTCTGGTTTATGCCCTATATTTTCACAATAATATCTCATCATAGGGCATGCCGATGTTCCTGGTTCATCAGAGCCATCTTCACAGTCACAATAATCATCATTGATATATTCAAACGGTATTGTTTTACCACTCTGAATGCATCGAAATGTCTCTGCGGGTCGATAAAACGAGGCTTTCGATGCAGGAATGCCCCGCGGATGGCTTAGGTTGTCACTGCTTCCCAACTGAAGCAGTGTAAAAACTATAAATACACTATTTAGCATTTGGAATCTTCAAATATTATGACAATTTTAAACGCCTTTGAACAAGTTTCTGTCAAAAGAACAGCGAAAAAGCGATCAATCGGATGAAGGAACGTGTTAGGTTTCGCTGAACTAGATTGTTGTAATGAATATAGCAATCGGCACTCTCAGGCTTAAACAAACGTATTTATTGTTGATTTTAAAGTCAGTAGATATAAGTTTTTAATATAAACTGACTGGTGCAATATAAATATTCTAAATGGCATAACATCGGAAGTGGCTGATTTCGATATAATTAGAAATGTACGATCGTGAATAATATCAATATTCTAGTGTACGTCATGTGGGGAGTAAGCGCTATAACCTAATCATGTTGACCTTATTTAATCTTGAACTACTAGTCATTAGTAAGCGCAGGCCAGGAAGACCGCACTACACGCAAAACAAAACTGATAAGACAAGAAATGAAAATAAAATGAAATGGGGTTTACCGACCTACTGTTCTGCTTCGATAGGCTAACGAAGACGAGCATACACCAAACAGTGTGCTATGTGGGCAATTTTGCCCGCTCTAACTGACTACATAGGATCTTTTACCTGTTCTGTACGCCATTGTCAATGTGTAGGCAACATGGGCCCTCGGTTTTTCGCCAAACTAGACCGCTGTCCTGCACTACTGACAAGGGAAACCACATCGAAAAGTCCTGATGAACTTTCTTGTCCAACACCGGGATTTAACCCGCAAACTCCAGGCTAGCGAGCCAGAGTCTTACTTACTTAGCCATTGTGGCTCCAACCTGCGAACAAGACAAACTAGGCTACATTGCAAGAAATAAACAGCAAATATCAAATCAACTTCAAGTGAATGGTAGAGGAAAATACCAGAATGTAATAATAGTTTATTCTCAACTACATGTACAAGCATGAGTATGGAAGTTACAACAAACATTTCACATTATGATGCCTAACAATATATAACTATATATCTTACAAAATAACGTTAATTTTCAAGACGGGTCGTAACTATTAATCTAATCGTCATTATTTAATGTTACATATCAATTAACAATTCTATATTTATATTTCTCTTTTCTTAAAGGCATTTAATACAAAACTTCCAACATTTTCTATACACTCTTCATTATTCATTAATGTATTAAGTTGAATTGAATCAGTTATATGAGGGTTGATGAATGGTGAGAGATATTGTTGTCTCAAATTATCATAAAATGGACAATACACTAAGAAATGTTTTTCATCTTCTACTAATTGAAGGCTGCAGTTTTTACATAATCTCTCATTACGAGGAATAAGTTATGTGACCAGTTTCTGACATTACCCACTGGCATATCCCAATACTCTTATTTGTTTAATTTTTTAAAGCTACATTATGATCAGATTGCTTATTACAGATTGAAACTGCCATAATAAGAAATTTGTTTTTATACGACCGCATTGAAATGTGTTTTTATATTGCCATTGCCCCCGTCCATTGGTCCGGCATCCACAATTGCTTGTGGACTTTGGAGGCTAAATTAATATCCGATTTATACACAGTGTTGAAGCTCATGAGATGAAGAAGCCTGTTGATTTTTAACAATTTCTGATAATTACTGCCAGAGTTATGACCCCTGATCACTTTGAAAAATAGTGTGGATGCTCTAGAGGCTCAAGTTAAAATCCGATTGACTTTACATTTCTGACATAAAAAGCATCTTTTCAACATATTTTGTTTGTAATATGCATATATCTAGTACATATTTTGTAACAGATATTTAATTACTGAGCTTAATACTTGGTCTTTTATTTTATTATAAAGTAGTATCTATAACAACAGAACTATATTAATTTGCATTTCTTCAGATACTTTTAAATTAACATTAACTTTTACTTTTTATCTATTTCAGGGAAGACTGGATAAGGAGAGCTCTATGTGAAGAAGCCAAGGTATTTTTACCACAAATTCTGACAGAAAGCAATTTGAATTATCATTTCAAAAGTTAAAAAGATGTTTCAAAATTTAACAAAATATTTCTCTTAAGGTCAAAAAAATCTGTCTGATTCTGTGGTATATTGCAAAATTGGTGAAGATATATTAACATGGCAACAAATTTTTTTGGGGGGGAGGGTATTATGCAAGAGGTAAATCTGCCTATTGCAGGTCTTTCTTAAGGCCTGAAATGTTATATAAACTATTAATTAGACATTTATTAAAGATACATTATGGGAGATAAGATAAAGAGATGGCAGTTCTAGCTATAATAGTTAAAAACTAGATAGTGTAAAGGTAATTTGCTGAAAATTTCAGTCAAATTGATCCACTATGAGCCGAGAAAGAAGCGGGTGAAATTTTTGCATAGTCTCGGTCATCATTACGATTATCCACTTTTTCTGATTTAATTATCAACGGCCGTTAGCGGCATATAGGAATCTAATCCAGCCAACATCGAAGGCTAGCCTTGACATTGAGAGTTTATTATGGTCTGGATGAGTTAATTAATGTCTAATTGATAATTTAGATAACATTTCAGGCCTAAAGAAAGACTTGTAATAAGCAGATTTTGCTCTTGCATAATGCATGTTTAACATGAAAAGACCATAATCAACTCTCAATGCCATCTTATATGTCTGATTTTCATTTTATTTGAATCCGATCTGCTGTTCAACGTCTGTTGATGATTAAACGCAAAAATGGATAATCAAGACTTTGTTAATTATCGTGACAGTGCTAACAATGACAATCGAGGCTACAAAGATTTTAAAATAAGGCTTTCACGACTTAGAGTGAAGCAATTTGATTGAATTTTTCAGCATATTCCCTTTATATCATCTAGTTTTTATACGCCCACATTGAAATGTGGACATATATTGCCGTCTCGCCCCCGTCTGTCGGTCCGTCAGTCGGTCTGTCCGTCCGTCATCCACAATTTCTTGTGAACGCTCTAACGCCAAAAGTTATCATCCGATCTTTCTGAAATTTTTTAATTTAGTGAAACGAAGAAGCCTATTGAATTTCAGCAATTTCTGTTTACTACATCTAGAGTTATGGCCCTTGTTTCACTCTACTGCACCTTGTGAATGCTGTTAACGCCAAAATTTATCACCCAATCTTTGTAAAATTGATATACATGATTTAAATTAGTGAAACGACGAAGCCTATTGAATTTCAGCAATTTCCGTTTATTACATCTAGAGTTATGACCCTTGTTTCACTTTATTGAACCTTGTGAACGCTCTTACGCCGAAAGTTATCATCCGATCTTTCTGATATTTATATGCATTATTAAGATTACAGACACGAAGAGGCCTATTGAATTTCAGCAATTTCCGTTTATTAAGTCTAGAGTTATGGCCCTTGTTTCACTTTATTGATCCTTGTGAACACCTAAACGTCAAAAGTTATCATCCGATCTTTCTGAAATTTATATGCATTATTTAGATTACTGAAACGAAAAAGCCTATTGAATTTCAGCAATTTCCGTTTATTATGTCTAGAGTTATGGCCCCTGTTTCACTTTATTGATCCTTGTGAACGCTCCAACATCAAAAGTTATCATTCTATCTTTCTGAAAATTATTTGCATTATTTAAATTAGTGAGGCGAAGAAGCCTATTGAATTTCAGCAATTTCCCATTATTATATTTAGAGTTATGGCCCTTGTTTCACTTTATTGAACCTTGTGAACGCTCCAATGCCAAAAGTTATCACCCAATCTTTGTGAAATTTATATGCATTATTTAGATTAATGAAACGAAGAAGCCTATTGAATTTCAGAAATTTCCCTTTATTACACCTAGAGTTATGGCCCTTGTTTCACTTTATTGATCCTTGTGAACGCACTAACGCCAAAAGTTATTACCCGATCATTGTGAAATTTATATGCATGATTTAAATTAGTGAAACGAAAAAGCCTATTGAATTTCAGCAATTTACAATAATTACTTCTAGAGTTATTTCCCTTGTTTCATTTTGTTAAACCTTGTTAATGCTCGATTAAAACAAGTTATCATATGATATGTATGAAATTTATATGCATCATTTAAATTTGTGAAACAGGTCTATTGAATTTCCGCAATTTCCGTCAATAATTTCTAGAGTTATGGCGATTGTGAACGTTTGAATAACAAAAGTGATCATGTGATCTGTATGAAATTTATATGCATTATTTAAATTAGTAAAAATGAAAAAGCCTGTCAAATTTCAACAATTTCTGTAGATTACTTCCAGAGTTGAGACCCTTGTTTCAGTTTGTAGAACCTTTTAAACCCTCAAACGACAAAATTTATAATCTGATCTGTATGGAATTGTCTTGTAAAGGCCCCCAATTACCTACAAAGGAATAAATATGCGACAACCCTTGTCGACCACTCGGACGATTTAGCTGCTGTGGGCGTATGTTTTGTTGCCTGGCAACCTATCTTTAACTATTATAGTGAGAACTGTTAGCTCTTTATCTAATCTTCCATCATAATTTCCCTCATTCATTACATTTCCTAAAGCTTCCACTTGTACCATTTTCAATTTAATAGCTTTAAAATTTAAACAAAAAAAGATAAATGTGTACATTTTTTTTCTCAGTTATATGGTGATGTGGCCCTTCCACCAGGTTCTCGACCAAGACGTGTCACAGTTTTCTTAAATCCGGCAGCTCAACGAGGGTAAATATTTTATTAAGAATACTATATGTTGATACAAGATATTTACCAAAACTATTTGATATGTAGGACTTTGTTGCTTCCTTTTTGATACAAATTGATCAGATATGTGTCTCCTCTCAGAATACCAGAAAACGTGATATGTATTTTTGACTTTGTTGGCATATCTAAATTTAAGCCAACTTTTTTAATTCTGTATAATTGCAATAAATAATTATTAAAATAAGCATGTGAAAAACAGCTAATCCATCCAAACTACAAACCAGTAGTAATTATGATTTTCAATTCTTCTGCTATCTATGCTTTATACAATAGTATGATAATTTGTTGGATGTATCATATCATACTTTATTGATATAAGCCAATTCTGTTGAACAATATCAAGGCCGAATTATTGTGAGAACCAAAACATTTTATGTTGCTCACCTTGTCAAAGTTTATTGGTTCACTTCATTTTTATTTTGAAGAAATGGAAGAAAGCTGTTCGAAAAGAATGCTGCTCCAATTTTATATTTGGCTGGAATGGAAGTTAATGTTGTTAAGGTAGGAAAACATGGCTGAGACCACCATAATTATAATAATTATCAAAACATAGACTAAACATATGGTGAAAATATTTAATATCACACTATTTGTATTATCATTAAATAAGATAGACCCTTCAAAGCTGTACTCATTTCTACCTGAATTTTTGGCAATTAAAATGTTTATTTTTTTATATTTTTTGATAGACTGAATATGATGGTCAAGTAAAACAGTTTATGGGTGTTCTGGAGAGTAAAGATACAGATGGTATTATAGTAGCTGGTGGAGACGGAACATTTTTAGAGGTATCTTATCATTAATTTAATTTTAAATCAAACAAAATATGTTAATTTTTGATCCTATTTTGTGTTTCTTGTACTTTGATAAGAGATCTTTAAAGATCAATATGTTATCAATCATTTGCATGAAAAAGTAAAAAAAAGTTCATTTATAAGCTGAATATAAACTTTCTGTTTCTGAATACTGAAAAACAATAATGGATTGGAATTATTTTATTAGTTAAAAGAGCAGAATAACTATGTCCTTTCAAAATCACTTTGAACATTATTGCATAACTTGCAAATGTTCACTCATATTTTATGTTATGACTGTTATTTTTTTTTGTGTTAAAGACAGTGACTGGTTGTATGAGAAAAGAAGATAAGGTAAATTGTATTTTATTTTTTACATTTTTACATTTGGTCAGTTTAATTTTTAAAACCCTTGCATAATATTCACAGTTGTTTCCAGGAAAGCAATCAAAATTAAAATTATACTTTGAAATTGCCCTGTTATTCTAACAAGTGATCATATTCAAAAATAATTTATTGTTTAAAGTCAGATCATCAATTGGAAATTTTTTATATCTAGAAAATTTGTCAGTATTCGGCTTCCTCTGCATAGGATATTTAAAATCCAATTGAATTCATGCAGGGATATTATCTACCACTCTTATTTTCGTTTTTTCTTAATTGAATGTTAAAAAATCAGTCTGAGTAGCCTTCAGTGTGGATAAGTCGTGAAAAATTAGATATTGTCTGAAATATGCAAATGATGATCAGCAGTATTAAGAAAAGAGATACAGATATTTATAATATCAAATATGTGCATAATTTTTTTTGTTAAAATTTAGAATTACAGAAATTCTGTACCAATCGGAATAATTCCAGTTGGTGAGACAAACAGATTTGCCCAAATTGTATTTGGTCAAGATTTAAATGAAGTCAGGTAAATAAAATAAACACTACAGACTATTATTATTACTACTACTACTACTATCAATAATAATAATATTAAAGATGCATTATGTAAGATTTCTATAAAGTGCTGACAGTTCTCGCCATAATAGTTGAAAAATAGATAATGAAAATGTCAGTCAAATTACTTCATTCTGAAGGGAGTTATGGAATTATTAACATAAAACGTTACGACAATGGTACTCTTATCTGCTTGATAAAGATGAGTGTACCATCATAGAAATGTTACATGATAATAAACCAGTAATTGTTATTCCATGAAAAGTTTTTAGCATGAACTACCATAACTACGATAATGATATTATTTTGGAGAGGATTCATTTTAACTTTTTTCTGCTCAGTTAATAAACCAATAAAATTGAAATGAATATAAATACAACAATCTTTTCTTTTTAGGTTTATTGGAGACGCAGCAATGTCAGTTGTTAAAGGAGTTACCAAAAAATATGATGTATTAAAAATAGAGGTAAATAAATAGACCTCAAAAAAATTCTTGTTTGGGCATCACATTCTCTAATACCTTTTTTTTTTTTTTGGGGGGGGGGGGGGGTGTAGTTGAATAAATAGCTGTTTGTTTCCTAATTTTGTAGCCAAATTTCTGTTAAAAGCACTATAATATATATAATAACCTATCAGTTTGGTCGATGCATTTATGTTTTATTATACCACTGCTATGAATTGTAGTCAATGCACATGTTTAGCATTCTGTTACAAGTTTGTTTTTTGGGCATAACCTGGGTACTATTTGAGATGATTCCAAACATGTACTCAAATTGTGTCTTTTGCTATTTACAAATTTGTGATAATTTTTTAAAAAATGAATTTTTTTTATACAGAAACTTTTCTTTGGATATATAGTATATTAATCTGAAAGTAATTAAGGTCTATGCCAATTCTATTAAAGTCTTAGATATATACCTAAAAACGTTATGGTACATGTATATGGGAGCTAAATATGCTCGCTTCTTCTTTTGTTTTTAAATGAAATCTGTTTCCACTATATAATTACAATTCCTGGTGTAATATTAGTGGATATATTACACTGTATACAACATGTAATATGTGTTTTAGGGAAGTGAAGGTAAAATAACATATGCTGTAAGTGGTTTAGAGACTGGAGCTTATAGAGATGCAGAGAGTAGAAAATCAAAGTAAGAAATTTGTTATTCTTACATCATGAATAGTTTTGCTTACTAAAGATACAATTAGCTGTAAAGACTAATTATCCAGTCACAACCATAAATATAATTGAACAGTATTTGCTCATACTTTCAAATTTAATATATGAATTTCATTTTTCAGATATTGGTACTTTGGTCCATTGAAATCTAGATGGACATATCTAAGAACAGCTATGAAAAGTTGGCCACCTAGTTTTAAAGCTGACATTAGCTATGTGTTATCAACAGAAGAAAATACTAAACAGTCAAAGAAAGTAGAACAAACACCAAGTTCTTCATATGGGTGGTTAGGATTTTTAATAGGCAGAACAAATAGAAATAATGGTAACTGTTAGAAATCTTACTGTAGATGAATATAGTTTTTGTCTTAAAGATGCACTATGTAAGAGCTAAATCAGCCAAATGCAGGTTTTATACTAGTTTGAAATGTATAAATTATTATTTAGAGGTTTATTCACATGACAAGCCCATAATCAACTCCTTATCATCGGATGGCTGAGATATTAAATGGATTAAACCATAAACAAGCGAGACTTTGTTTATTCGTTTACATGTACACCTGTCCTAAGCACTCATCATCATCCACGACTTTGTTTAAAATCTCTTCCCTAGGGCATCTCTTATGTAAATCCATCACTGCCTCTATTATAGAACTATGTTGGTCTTGACAAATCGGCCCCGTTTGTCGCGACGCAGGAGCGCCATCACGTAGTGATCTCTAAAACTATTATGGCCACTTCCGCCTTCATTTCTATCGGGTTTGGAGCTCAAAGTACGGCAATAAACTAGCTCTAACTTGACTGAATGAAAAATCTAACATACCTTTCGACTTTGTGGAATAACAATCTATAATTCTACTGATCTTTTTTTTGAAAATCTTATCGGATTCCAGAGAACAGATGTAGGCCTATTTTCTTCATGATCACCATCAAAACATTGAAGAATCCATTATGTCGTAAATTTTATGTTAATTAGATTGCTATTACTTAGATTTTCCTTTTTCTCACTGTTTTATTGTCGATTTGGGATGATACAAATATTTAGTATATATTAAAGACGTCTCTATTCATTTGACCTCATTTGACGTTTAAACCTATATAATGTACATGAATTTTAGGTACTATTTTTTTTTGCGGATGAATACAGCTGTTCTGTAATGCTTAATATTGATCTGTAACATTAAGAGTTAAGTGGATTTATCTCCCTTTCATGATTAATAATAATGTTCTCATGAGCCGTTTTTTTTTTTGGCATGAAGTCTTAGTGCATAAGGTACTTATATGTGTATCTCCCCTGTTGGGAGCTATGTATACTATTATATTTTCTTACTTGACTGTCATTTGGGTTTTCTCTCTTTGTTTGCTCTGTACCATGTCCCCTGTGGACCCTTGATTGGAAATAAAGCTATTATTATTATTATTTATTATTATTGTATTCTGTTGTAGACTGTGAAAATTTTGGATCCATGTGTCGATGCTTTAAATCACATGGATCCAATAAACCTTCTAACTGTTTAATTCCATTTTTTTCATTGAAGATTCTTATATTACAAATCTTTCCTTACACTAGAAACGTAATCACTGGGTGCCAGTTTAAGTCTTATATCACACAGGTTCTTGTCACAGGCTTAAACTTTATGTGACATATATATCCCTGTTTGCTCCAAATCAGTAGCGGAGAAATGGTCAATGTACCACATCCTTGTTATAATTAGAAATATTTAATATTTCAGTTCCCCTGGTAAAAGAATATGACTTTGATGATAGTAAAGATGATGAAGAAATGATATCTGAACCAATATCTACAGTAGAATTTACTGTTAATTCAACTAATTTAGATACTGATCCTAAGGTAAGTTATTCAATCATTTCATTATTCTTGGTTCTATATAATAGATAGAACACTCCTATTTTAAGATTACTATTTTGAATGCAAAATTTTGTTAGCTGTGTGAATTCTTCAAAAAGATAAGTGTGGTATCAAGTGTTATATAAAGAGTACTAGCAAGTATACACTACAGCCAATTGTTTTGTTCACATCATGCATCATTCAACCAGGTGGTTGTTATAGAAACGGTTAATTTATACTTGTAGGGTAGATGACCTGATCATATGAACTTTAGAAACTGTATAACACGTTTAATTTATACTTGTAGGGTAGATGACCTGATCATATGAACTTTAGAAACTGTATAACACGTTAATTTATACCTGTAGGGTAGATGACCTGATCATATGAACTTTAGAAACTGTATAACATTATGAAATGAAATATGTTTTATTTTGCTTTATATCATTTATTGTTACAGTCTGTAGAAGGAATGACCGTTGGAATTGGACCATCTGAACCAACAAAATCACAGTTGATTAAAGAAGGGTACAATTTAATTTCATTAATTAATTGAATCTTTTTGATTTCCAACAGTTTGAAAATCTATATATTTAAGAACCTGTTCATCAAAATTAAGTTATGTGCATTTGTATGTTTCAGATGGAGAAGAATAAATGATAAGAGTTTAAAATTTGGAACAGAAGAAAATCGTCAGTTAGTTGTAAAGAAGATTAAATTCACACCAGAGGTGAATGAGGTAATTGGACACTTTTAGTTTATGTAAGGGAACCACACTTTCATTTTAAAGGTCCCAGATTCAATCCCACTGTTGGCCAAGAAAGTCCTTCAGGATTTTTTGAAATGGTTTCCCCATATCAGTGGTGCAGGATGGAAGGCTTGTAATGTGACGTGACATCTAGTTGTTTGGATGGTTTGAAAAAAAAACAAGGTCTTGTGTAAACTTTTGCTATTGGAATTTTGAAGTAAGAGAAGGCTGTAACACCGTTGCCTGGACAAAATTTCCTCCTTAGCACAGCCTGAAGTATGTCAGACTTCATTAGCCCGGACTGAGCAGAAAGTAGGATGTTAATTAGAATGATATGATGTTAAATTGCTCAATTTTGGTCATCAAGTGCTATAATTGTCAAAATAATATTCAATGGAATTTATTTGTCCCCCGCCTTTCGAAGAAAGCAGGGGACTATTAAAATGGGTTCGTCCGTCTGTCTGTCCGTCACACTTTTTGGGACACAATAACTCTCTTTCTAATTGACCTAGAATGTTCAAACTTGGTGCAGGTGTTTATTAGGTCAATGCCTTGATGGAGTTCGAAGATGAGCATTTTCTGCTTAGGGTAAGCAGAGATAAGCAATTTGATTGGTTGTTGCTTTGGGACACGATAACTTTAGTTCTAATTAAGTGAGAGTGATGAAACTTGGTGTATAGTTTCATTACATCAATACCTTGACTAAGTTCGATAATGAGCATTTTCTGCTCAGGGTAAGCAGAGCGATAAGCAATTTGATTGGCTGAGACTTTGGAACACAATAACTCTTCTTCTAATTGAGCCAGAATGTTCAAATGTGGTGTAGGTGTTTATTAAGTCAATGCCTTGATGGAGTTCGAAGATGAGCATTTTCTGCTTAGGGTAAGCAGAGATAAGCAATTTGATTGGTTGTTGCTTTGGGACACGATAACTTTAGTTCTAATTAAGTGAGAGTGATGAACCTTGGTGTATAGTTTCATTACATCAATACCTTGACTAAGTTCGATAATGAGCATTTTCTGTTCAGGGTAAGCAGAGTGATAAGCAATTTGATTGGTCGAGACTTTGGAACACAATAACTCTCATTCTAATTGAGTTAGAATGTTCACACTTGGCGTAGGTGTCTATTAGGTGAATGCCTTGATGGAGTTCGAAGATGAAAATTTTCTGCTTAAGGTGAGCAGAGATAAGCAGTTTGATTGATTGATGCTTTGGGACACGATAACTTTGGTTCTAATTAAGTGAGAGTGAGGACACTTGGTGTATAGCTTTATTACATGAATACCTTGACTAAGTTTGATAATGAACATTTTTTGCTGAGGGTAATCAGAGTGATAAGCAATTTGATTGGTCAACAGTTTGGAACACAATAACTCTCTTTCTAATTGAGGTAGAATGTTCAAACTGGGCGTAGGTGTCTATTTGATGTAGATGTTCATTAGGTGAATGTTTAAACTTGATGTAGATGTTCATTGGGTGAATGTCTTGACTGAGTTCAATGATTAATATTTCAAGCTGACGCTAAGCAGAGCTAATCGATTTCATTTGTTGATGGTTTGGGACAAGATAATCTTGATTCTATCTGATAGAGAGTGATGAAACTTAGTGTAATGTTTAATTGCTTGATACTTTTGAAAAAAATAAATGTGCGATTAATTAATATATGTGTCATCTTTTTATTTTGGTATTTCGGCGGGGGACATCAGCCTCACTGTTGGCTTGTTTTGTATTGTTTCAGGATACAGATATGATGATAAATATTGATGGTGAATCATTTGAAGCATTGCCAATTGAAATATCACTGTTAAAAGATAGGATTAATGTTTTTTATAAAGCTGAGGCTGCAAGCTGATATAGTAATAATGAACTGTGTGTATATTATATTATATACTTGGAATGCAAGAATGAATGATTGGTGTGTGTTGTAGACAAATAAAATGATGAAATCTTTACAGAATGGTTGGGGTTTTCTTTTTTCAACCATGATGATTTTAATGTGTTTGATGAATTGTATGGTGAAAAATGTTTCAACAATAAGTTGACAGTTGTTATGAGTATTTTGCCCTCGCTCCTGTCTGTTTGTGTGTGTCTGTGGGTCGTCTACAGGGCGCAATTCTTAACCGATCATCTTGAAACTTTGTATACTTATTCCTTCTACCCTAAGGATGATCCTTATTGTTTCTGGTGCATGCCCGACTCCCAGGGACAGAGTCACAACCAATTTCTGTGTGTTACCTACAGGCCACAATTCTTAACAGATCCTTTTGAAACTTTGTATACCTATTCCTTATACCCTAAGGATGATCCTATTGTTTTTGGTGAATGCCCGACACCAAGTGGCAGAGCCACACACCCTTTTATATTTTTTGAGTAGCCTACAGGCCACATTTCTTAATGGATCGTCTTGGAACTTGGCATATATATTCCTTATATACAACTGGCGGTAGTTTTTACTTTGATGTCCATAGCAGTTATATCTCATAACAACCTGTCATGACATCATCATAGGTTGATATTATATTCGTTCATATCAACCGCTGATGACGTCATGACAGGTTGATATTTCATATCAACCGCTAATGACGTCATCTCGGGTCAATATATTCGGCTCATATCAACTGCTGATGATGTAGATGATCAAAATAATACAAAAAAACACAGAAATAAATTTTTATTCTTTTGACAATTTGTTATGGTACAGTTTCTAACATTCAGGACCGAAATAGACGGCGTACTTATCGACATACATGTATTTAGATCGGTTATTCATGTCTTAGACATCTTTCAGAATTTTCTTTTCGTCCACATTGCGATTATTTCTCCACACACTACAAGACTTGAAAGTATTTATCGCCCAAGAGTTCCTTTGTAAAGTATTTTTGGGTACAGTCCACTTAAAACAGTCGGTCAAATCCTTCTCTGAACATACCGAAAACCTTCAATCATGGTTCACTGTCAGAATTCTTGGAAAAATATGCCTTTTGGTCCAAATTTTCTGCAGGCTTTGGATAGATCCTCGTCGATATTTGCATTCACATCTATTCCATCGTCAATATGTTGGCTAAAAAGGATTGATTATTCGTCTGACTTCGTATTACTATCCATTTTGTTTTTGCTTTCAATTCAATAGTTCAAAATGGCGACGTATAAACAAAAACATGCACGTGATTACTTCGGTAATTTTCACTATTTGGCGGAAACTATGGAGCAATTATCCAATCGTTGTTGCCTTTTAATGGAAGAGCCCATTAAATTTAAGGGTGAAATGGCGTTGTATATGTCGGATATAAACCTACTCTCCCTCGGATTGATATGGGTAGGTTAATATCCTATACATAGCCAAAGGATGGCAACTATTGATTTTGATGCAACCCGACCCCCATGGGCAGAACCACGCCCAATTTTTGTCTATGGTGCCTGAAGGACGCAATTCTACATGGATTATCTTGGAACACTTATTCCTTATATCATAAGGACGGCAATTATTGATTTTGGTGCCACACCCACTTATTGCAATTATTAACAGATTTGGATCCAATTTGGCATGGTCAATCATAGGGTTGTACCTATTTATATTGGTCCATGTCCAGCCCCCTGGGGTGCAAAGCCATGCCCAAGTTTTTGGTTTTTTGTCTACATGCTGGAATTCTGAATGGATCATCTTGGAACTTAGCATGTTTATTCCTTATTCCGTAAGGATAGCAACTATTTATTTTTGTGCATGTCCTGACCCCCAGAGGTGTGGTCCCACACCCACTTTTTTGTTAATTTGTCTGTAAATACTCTACATTTATTAACAGATTTTGTTCAAATTCAGCATATTAATCATTTCAATAACAGAGTTGTACCTATTTATACTGTTCCATATCCAAACCCCCATCGTCGGAGCCACACCAAATATTTGTATTTATGGTCTACAGACTGCAATTCTGAATGGTTCATCTGGGAACTTTTGCATATTTATTTCTTATACCATAAAGACAGCAACTATTTATTTTGGTGCATGCCCTGACCCCCTGGGGTGGTGTCACACCCACTTCTCTGTTCATATTTAGTCTGTAAATTTGGCAAAACAAACCCAATGCATAGTCTTCTTTGCCTCTTGTCATATTACAGTCATCGCAGCCATTTCATATTTCATTGTTTTAATTTTAAAAAGTACCATAAATGAAATGAAAAGAAATGGGGTTTAACGTCCTACCTGGGCTAATGAAGACGGGCATACGCCATACAGTGTGCCACGAGAGAAATTTTGCCCAGACAGCGGCACAGCAGCCTACTCTTATATCGAATTCCAACTGTCAAGGGATCTTTTACTTGCACGACAGTGTGAACACGGGACCTTGGTTTTTGTTCCATCCAAACAACTAGACAACTGTCCTTGTCAGGCCCTTCGTCCTGCATCACTGACAAGGGGAACCATGCCTGAAAATCTAGATGAACTTTCTCAGCCAATGCAAGGATCGAACACCCTTCCTCCAGGCTAGCGAACCAGCATCTTACCCACCATGATCCCTAAAAACTACCACATCAATCAAAGCAGGAATGTGGAAGTATATTGAGCATCCGATGCTCTAGTTATTTTATCTTAGGGCACTATCTTACTACATGTAATACCAAATAGCAGCTGGGTAGATTGGACTACAGGGATAGAGTGTCATATTGAAGGATATTCAGATTCAGCTAGAATGATGTTACAGATATTGGTAGCAGTGCCATGTATCAGAAATTTGTTTGTTACAGTGTTTCGAGAAATGCATATTTTTATACGCCCACATTTTCATGTGGACGTATTATGCCGTCGCCCCTGTCCGTCCGGACATCCGTCCACAATTGTTTGTGGACTCTCTCTACAGGTCACAATTCTTATCCGATTTTAACGATACTTGAAATATAGGTTTATCCCAAAAAAATCCCGGCTGCTTTCGATATTGGCATATATCGGATCGAAACCTCATGGATTATGGCCCCTGATTGTACGAAAAATCACATTTTTAGTTTGTGGACCCTATAGAGGTCACAATTTTTATCCGATTTTGTTGAAACAATGGCCGCCGTTCGTTCTCAAATAGCGTAAAAATACGGTATATCAAGGTTGTGGACCCTATAGACGTCACAATTTTTATCCGATTTTGTTGAAACTTGAAATGTAAGTTTATAACACAAAGATCTCAGTTCTTTTTGATATTCACGCATATTGAATTGTAATTTCTTGAATTATGGCCCTTGATAGTAGGAAAAATCACTTTCTTGTTGGCTTGTTCTCTATCCATCTCTGGAAAATGTGGGCGTATCCTGCCTGGCAGCCGCTGGTTTCTTTGAAGTTTGTACTTACATAATTATGCCTTTTAGTGAAACAAGTCCATCAGTATCCTGACCTAACTTCGCAATACCTGTTGTCTGAATGAAAAAGATCGATTTTGGGACCATGAAGAGAAATATACAACAAACAGTGAACATATTTTTATGAATATATATATTTCATATAAAAATAGTGATTATGCCTTGGATTTAAGAGTGTTGCTATATGTGCAAATATACATGTATTTTTCAATATAAATATATTTACAACAATAAATATATTTAAGTATGAAGTCCAGTGACCGAGGACATTACTATCATAAATTTCCTAAAAAAACCTAATATATTAACATTAGGTATTTGCTCTAAAGGCGCTAGTGCTATTTGTATTTTTCCGAAAATATCCAATTTTCATGCGTCCAAACTAGAATACATTAAAATTCATCATTATTAATTAAGAAAACAAAGTCAAAATATCTCCCAGCTTAAATTCAGTTGATTTTAAAAAGAGGCCAATCACAAGTTTTTCGTGTGAAGATTGTAGGTCGCATTGGCTTGCTTTGACCAATTCTCAGTCAGTTACATCGCCTGAAAAGGATATCGAATGTGGACAAACTTTTAATTCATCATATCTTTGTAAATACTGAAAGGAATTTGACCATCTTGTCTTTTTGAGATCCAACTTTCATAATATTTTCATTTGCATGTGACAATCTAAATCAAAGAGAATTTCCTCCTACTTTAGGTCTAAATATATGCCTAGGACACCATTCCTTGTGTTTTGCGGGGGGGGGGGGGGGGGGGGGGGAGGGGGGCTAGGCGAATGGTTAGCGCGCGCTGTATCATACGGTCTGTCATTGAGTCAACTGGCGGGTTTCAATTCCCCTGTTGTATGTGACAAGGAGTAGGGTCGCCTGTCCAACCTCGTGGGTTTTCTCCGGGTCCTTCGGTTTCCTCCCACTGCTAAAGACCCTTACGCGCAAACGAATGATTGAAATAAAATTGAACCATATGTTAGACCCGAAATGAACTAGTTTGTGTCGAGTGGACGTTAAACCCCATTTCTCTCTCTCTCTCTCTCTCTCTCTCTCTCTCTCTCGTGTTTTGCCAGATGAAACTAGCCAATTGAAAGATTTCACTTCTCCCAAACAAATTTCACCCAGTATACTAATTTAGTTATTCAAATAAAAACTAAAATGAAAGTAAAGACAGGGCAATATTATTTGAATACCTGCTTACATGTGATAAAAGGTAACAAGAAAATATGATAGTCAAGCAACTTAAAACTAATATATGGCTTTAATTAAACTATGTACAAAATATTCCAAAAAATAAATAATGGATGAAATTTTTGATAATAAAAGGATTTAAAAATGAAATAAAAAGTGAGCAATAAATAGGATTCAAATAACAAGTATGTACATTAAAATAAGTCTTAAAGGTATAACAAAATACACTGTACATAAACTTAAAATATTATATTGTATATACCGAAATATCAGGCGATCCTTTTGATTCTCTGTGGCTGAATGGCAGGGATAACTGCCATATATACCATAGATGCTGATGAAAATATAGGAGCTTCGGTACTGTATATGTATATTCTAGCATATCTATATATTTGTTCTAGTATAATAGATTGACTAGCACTATTTATTTTATCTGTTCTAGATATATTGATACATACCATATTTCAGATCAAAATTCAGAATTTCTTAAAGGCACAATAAATTTAACAATGATTTATATTTACTGAATCTCAATGTCAAGAAGGTACAAATGTATAACATTTTAATCTCTGAAGAAAGCCCTTTTTGTTAAATATAAATAAGAAAATTGTTTATTGGCAATCTGGCACATTTTATCTTCTGTTCAGACAGTGATATCAGCATCTGTTGGAGACAAAATATGAATAGTTGTGAATAGTGTGGAATTCTCGGTATAAGGCATGAGGAGTCGAATATTCTATAATGTATAAATAGTTTTGAAAACGGTTTCAAAGTATTTCAAACAATAAAATGATCTGTTAACAGATTCAACATTGAATTTAGAATTTGGCACATTTTAGTGTAAAACGCAGGGCCACATAAAATAACTGTTCTGTTTCACTGTATAATCTAAAACATGGGATAAAAGTATTAATTTTGTTACACAAAGAGTACACTTAACGGATACATAAACATTTAAAAGTACAAAAATAATTTAATAGCAACATAATTATTATGCTAATAACATGAGTATCATTACAATAATATCTTATATCTATCAAGTAGTATATTACTTATAGTCATTCCAATAGCACTTTCTTACAGTCAATGATAAAGTATTCCAAATTGTTTCTTCATTTATACAAGCCGTTTTAAAAAGTTGTTTGATTAAATTTGTACAAAGCAAACATAATTAATGGCACATCAGTTTCCACCACTTTTTTATAATTCTGTTTGTAGTTGAGAGCGTGAATTACCAACATGAGTTCTGGGATATATACCAGTTGTACCATCAGCTAACATACCGACACACCAACCAGGTTTCGGACATTCCTAAATCAGAAAATATTTATTTAATTAACAAAAATATCAGATAAATTATTCAGAATAACACGTGTCTACATTTCGTATATAGTATATTGAAATGCTAATGGCTAATAACATCTTTATTATAAGCCATTGGGAAAATTTAAAGTTAATACCATTTTTCTTATGTCAAAATTTCTTTAACCACATGTAGATGAATTGTTGAACTTCATTTGTCGACATAATGCTACACTAGTTGAATATGAGATTTACATGATGCCAGCTTCAAAGTATTGGAGATTTTCATAAATACTAGTTTCAATGTATTGGAGATTTACATAATGCCACTGATTGTATATCATGCATTAACACATGATTTGCAACTAAAATCAAAATTATTTGATATCCTGTCAAAAGTAATACTTGTAATATGGACCTTCAGTGTTGCAAATAATTCAGGTATTAAACTTAAATGGTATTAAAGTTATAAATCCACTTTATCCCACAATGTTTGAGGTCTAGTGTCTCCATCTTCAAATGACATGATTAAATACATTTAAAATTGTAATATCTTAACACTGAAGATGACAGGTTTAAGTAGGTTTGTTAACTTGTTTTCTACATAATAGTAAAATTCTGATAGAAAGAACTTGCAAGATCACCTCATTTATATCCATAATAAAACTTCCTTCATCAAAACTTAATTCTCCTTCCTCAAGCGCTTTGAAACTTCTTACTGCTATACGTAAATTGGTTTTCTTGGTTTTGGAACTGTTAGATTACATATAGTTAGGTTATACACAGATAATACTAATAATTAAAGGACCAACAGCAGATAGGTTGGAGGAATGTTCTATTTGTTTTTCACAGAATTTAACCGTAAAACACAACACAGTTAAATATGTAGTTTAAAATCTCTTAAAAATTGGTTTCTACATTGAGATAATGCTAAAATTGTCATATTCTTTGAAAAATGTTGTTTAATTACTACCTAAAGAACATTTTTCAACCCCGACATTTGTTAAATGTAAATTAACAGGTAGCAAAATGATTAATGGCTTTTTAAGGTTAGAATATGACTTCACAGAGCATTTTATCAGAGTTGCTGTTTTTAAATGGAATCATAAAGCCATACTTCTTAGGTTGGACAGGTTACCCTACTCTTTGTCACGTATAACTGGGGAATTGAAACCACGCCAATTGACTCAATGACAGACTTTATGATACAATGCACACGTGCTAACCATTTGGCCATCCAACCCCCCAATGAGTAACCAGCACGTAGGGGTTCGATCCCAGTGTTACCTTGAAATTTTCCAAGGAATTTTCCACATGGTTTCCCACTGTCAGTGGTGCAAGACAGAGTGCCTTGCAAGGTCAACATCTAGTCATTTGGATGGGATGGAAAACTGCTGAGGTCCTGTTTACACATTTGCGTGCCCGTTAAAGAACCCTTGACAGTTGGAAATCGAAATAAGAGTAGGCAGTAGTGCCACTGCCCAGTCAAAATTTCCCTTGTAACACATTACATGGTGTATGCCCGTCTTCATTTGCTGAGCCCGTGCAGAAAAGTAGGACGTTAAACCCCATTTCATTTCATTTCTTCATGCTTAATGCAGCCAAATAAAATTTTACGAACTATCTGCTCATGATCCTTTCATTTCTACACATTTTAATATAGACACCATATCCCAGAAATATCTATACTATAAATGTCTTGTCAAAAAGATGATTATATGATCGTAAATTACCACTTGCACTTGTTTGTTCTTTTCAGTACATGTAATTTTGATTGGATTGTTAGGAAACTGAATTAAATAAGCACACATAAAACTAGATATTTCTGGGAATTTAACAAAAATTGATACACATTTTATGCACAAAAGACACAAAATAAACCATCTGATATAAGAGGAATTAGATAAAGCTTTAAATTAATGTATAAATATTGGTTAGATTTTGTAAACAAACACAAATAAACAAACACCATTTAGTTGCAACCATACAAGTAACATGTAGAATATGAGAGATACCATGAAACCTTCTCGGACTAACACATTTTAATTTGAAACTTTTAGTTACGTGTGTATTAAAGTCCAGTGGGTTTTCTTTAACATATACAAATGAAAAAGGTTTATGTTGATTTGCAAGCTAGTGAAAAGTTATGACTATTGCTGTGTTCAATCAATGTCATAGTTTTAGAAATCACTTGAAAATAGTGTTCAAATTAGGACACATTTTCTTGGTGACCATCACCCTTTTCTCATAAAATGTGTATTCATTATAAGTCATTTTACAGCTTGCCATTAAACAGGAAATATTGTAGGCCCTAATTCAATTTTTTAAAACTTCTACAGTCAGGAAAACCATTTGGGAAATTGTTTTTGTCTTCCGTATTTATCCTCTGTAAAACCGTTGACATTCTACAAGTGAAAAGAGTTCAAAATCTGGCTCCAAACTCCAAAGTTAGGATTTCCAAAAGTACAACATCGGTTGAACATGGTTTAAATTTAGGCGTACATATTATTTATATTAGTGTTTTACTTACGGTATTTCAGGAGGATCTTCATGATTTAACTGATTATTACGATGAGGTTTAGGTGGTGATGATTTAGGTGGAGGAGGTTTTGTTGGAGAATTTTGTGATGGTAACTCATTTTGAATTACGTCATCATTATCATCCATAATTTCTCTTTCATTTCCATTTTCTTCAATACAGTTCTCCTTGTTATCACCATTCATTAATGGCGGTATAACTGGTGGAGCCACTTTTCGCAACTTTGCAGCTGTTTTAGGCGTCATTGTATTGTCTGTGACCTCATCCAGAAGATGAGCAGAAATTCTGTTCAATATTTTTGGTCCAATAGAATTATTTAAGGATTCTTCGTTAGAATAAAGAGAAACATCAAGTGAGTGTCTTTCTGTCTTTGGTTCACTAGGTTCAACACCTTGAGTTCTTGTGGGTGGTTTAGGCGGTTTTGATTTGCGTTTTTGGCAAGCAGGACTTTCTGCAAGCGCATCAATGCCACCATTATTAGTGACTGGATCGTTAATTAGTTGATTTGAATTTGATTTGTTAGTGTTTTGTTTTGGTTTATTCTTCTTATATTTTGAATGATTGTTAATTTTAGGAGGTGGTGGCCTTGGGGGTAATGGTCGTTCATTAGGCAGAGGTAAAACTGCCAGGTTTCTGAGTTTTTTAGTATTGTTTTTTGGAACCTTCACCAACTTACGTTTGACAAATCTTACCGGTAATTCAGGTTTCTCACTAGATTTAATGTTTGTTTTATTTTCTTTATTTTCCAAAAGAGATTCATTACTTTGTCCAAGAGAACCTGTTTTTAATCCAGAAGGAAGAACCTTAGTACTACCAGGGGGTGGAGCAGGTGCCTTCCGTGCAGGTTTGAAATCAGCAGAAAGTGCAGACTTTGATTCACGTTTCTTTAGTTTGGATTTCTCATCACTGTTTTTAAGGTCTTTGTCACCATCTGGGAGTCCATCAAGGGTTATGGCTGAAGATCTGTCACTTTTTAGACTAGCCAAGTCAATATCATCAAATATACTGAAATTCTTGATACCACTTGAAGCATTACTAGAACTATCATCTGATTTATCAGCTAACTGTTTTGAGAGGAAAAAAGATCAGGTTTAAATTTATATAAAGTTTTGATAAAATATTTAATTCAGTTGAAATCTGGATACAAATACTTTTCTATATCAGTTTTCTAATTAGAACATATACCACTCTCACTTTCATAGGACATGGTATCTGATGTGATATTATACACAATTTACCACTCTCACTTGCATAGAATAGAGAATTATTCAGAAATGTAAATCTATAGCCTATTTACCTCTACATATGATCCTGGGAACCAGCCCACTTCATCACCGTGACAACCAAGCCACCAACCATTATCTAATGTTTCAAATACCACAATAGTATCACCAGCTTCAAACTGTAAATCTTCTGACTTCAATGAAGAGTAGCTATATAGAGCTTTATGTTCTATAATAAAAATAGAATGATTATTAACAGGATTGAGCCATCTATCCAACTGTCCAATTTTTTTCAAGCCAAAAATTGAATATTTAAATGAGAAGTTAGCCATCGTCATGATTTGTTTATATTTGTTCATTATTGAATATCATTAATTTAAAAATGTACAAGCTGAAATACAAATCATTTACATATTAATTAGCAGAGAGAGAGAGAGAGAGAGAGGGGGGGGGGTAACTCCCCTCACACAAAATAGGTAATTTCTGGACTAAAATTTGTTAAAATCTAATAAATGATATGAAAGAGAATCATGCCAATTAATCATATATTCCATGATAAATATATCTTGCTGTACTTTCTTTTTATGTTGGATGAAAAATTCTGTGAAAAAAATTAAAACAAATTCCGTAAAAAATAACAACTCTGCCTTACCTATGCCAATTCCTTCTTGATTAGAAGTTCTGTTTTTATTGGCTGTAAGTCGATCATATGTAACTGGTTTAGGAGTTGGTTCAGCAGGAATATCCTCTTCTGATGCCTGTAAAAAGTCATACAACTTCATAAAATATAGATATTACCGAGAAGTCTGATAATTCAGTATTTAAAACTAGTACTGTGTCAAGCTGGAGCCCCTATAAAAAATTTAGTACAATGAATTGCAAACATTAACCTCTTGCATCATATAGTGTCTTTCAAACCATTTTATTAATCTGCGGGAAGAGTTATTTTCTTTGACACATTATTGTCCAGTCAAAGGTATACATTACATGCACTTTATTTCTAAATATTTCAAATTGAAGATTATATTTTTCAATAACATCAGGTAACTTAATATTGACTTGTTCCATGCACCAAACTAAGATACTGAACAACCAATAAATGTTGGATGAGTTACCTCCCTTGACAAACTTTTTAAATTATTGTTTTATACATTGCACAATAAAACTTATTTAATTAATCTTAAATGTGGTTTGGCTTTAAACTCTACCTTTTCTATACCAACAGAGATATTGAAGATGGACATAATATATAGTATGCCATGAAGTGTAATTGTAATTTAATCGACTGCATTGCACAATGTCTGCCATTCGGAACTGAAATGTTTCTGTCTATTCTTTTTTTAATTCAAACCTTAGTTTTTGTCATATATAACAACTAGACATTGCTTCATGCCAGGCCCTCTGTCCTGCACTACTGGCAAGGGGGAAAACCTGGTTGGAAAATCCAGAGGAGCTTTCTTCGCTGACACAATAATCATTCCTGGGGCCCCTTTGTTAGTGAGCCAACGTCTTACCAACTGAGTCACTGTTAAAATCTCTTTTATGTATTCAATATTTAAATCTTTTTATTTTTCTTTTGGTGCAAGAAATCCAACTATTTAATACCTCATTAACATAGACTGCTGGAAACCAACCATCTTCATTAGTCCTCATATTAAGTCCACTCATCCAGCCATTTCTATCTCTGTCTTTACATATTATTATATCTCCTTCTAATAAACCTATCTCTCCTTTACATGCTGGTTTATACATAAATACAGCTTTAAATAGTTTACCTAAAATAATATTACAATTGTATAGTATAAAAGATAATAGACAAAGTTGGTCTGAGATATTAGCTAAATATCTAATCTATCAGAATACACCAAATGGCAATTCATTTGGATATATAAAGCAAATGATTGAATAGTATTTTATAAATGCATCATTTCTCTTGCCCCAAATAGGTTATACAAAAGATTTATGACATCATTTCAGAGATATTATACCTGTTGATGTTTGAGTGATATCAATATCATCTACTTCTATTGGTACAGTACTACCTATATCAGACATGTTTATTACCTCTGCTACAAAACCCGAATCCTGAAATAACAAGTGAAACAAGTTATGAGTTTCTATTATAACAAATGCTTAATTTCTTAACAGGTAATAATAAAATAAAGTACTTGTGAACCCTAACATATCCAAATAAACAAACCAACAGTGAGGCTGATGTCCACCACCTAAATCCCATAATAAATAGATGGCATATATTAATTAATTACACATTTATCTTTTTTATAGTATCAAGCAAAGCAATTAAGAGTGTATCCGCGAGAAGACCATGCAAAAATCGCAAAAAGTGCTAAGATGGGGGGTCGGAAGTTTTTGATCAAACTTATGGTATGACACCCCCTAGGGGCAAGAGGTAACATGCTGAAGTGGTTACAGTCTGATGTCGCTCTAAAGGACTGTACAGGAATTATTCATTTTATGGGTAAAATTGAGGTTTTCACATGTGTATTTATCACCTTTTTTAAGCACAGACTGCATTCTATGGTGGAATAGAAACCTTCTAATTTTGACCTTGTCTGATAAAGACGGTGGTCAACTTCTACCCCAGCACTAATTTGAAAAAAAAAATCAGTACATACTAATTTTGTGTGGACTTGTTTTAGGGTACCATATTCACATTGTCCTTATAGTGCAGAAAAAGATACACTGTAACTTTTTCTTTCATGGTCGCAAGTAGAATTTCTTTGGATGGTTTTGAAGTGCTAAGCACATAGTATCCATAGGTGTAAAAAAAAATGACCGGAATGCAACATACTTAAAATATACAGCTTATTGAAAAGTGCTAAAAATAAGCTTTTGTGATACATTTTTTTGCAAATTTAATTAGAGAAATAAAATTTTTGACTTTTATACGTTTTCATCATATCCATAGCCATTATTTGTACCATGTTGTACTCTATATAAGTGTGTATTTGTATTTATTGTATATTTGGTATTGTCGTATTGTCCCTTTAACATATTTGTTGTATTGTCTCTTTAAGATTTCATTTTCAAACAAGTTACCGAAAATGGCTACAAAATGTTTAATTTCAGAGCATGTTTCCACTATTCATTATGGGACACATCCACTGATTTCTACAATACAGAAATGTGGAGGCTTAAATATTAACGGCAACGAAGCCTCATTGCGTCGAAGTGGGTGACATTGAACAGTGTAGTATGGTAGCTACAGCTCTCGGGCACCGTCAGCTGCACCTTCAGGGCCGGATTTAAAATAAGAGAGGCCCTAGGCAAACCCCCTGAACAGGGCCCACGACATGGACCTTGGGGCCCTGGGACAAGCAACTCGGTGAGAGGGTGGGTCGGGGGAAGTCATGCGGTTGGTGGTTCGAATCTCACTATTAGGTGAATTTTTCATTTTCGTTGGATTATTTTATTTAAAATAATGTCTATTTGAGAGTAATGGATATGTTTGTTAAGATTGAGCACGTCGAAACTCCAATGGAAGGTCGTGGACAACTGCAGAAGTCAATTCCTGTTGACGCCAGATGAGCAATGAACAATTACAGGCCTTTGAAAGTATTTTTTTTCAAGATATTTTTATAAAACAGATACTAATGTATTTTAGGGCTGGTAGTAAACACCACATGAATGAAAAGGAAAATAAATTGTTAGGTTTTTTTTATCTACTACGGTTAATTATCTCCAAAATAGGGAAATTACAGGTTAATTTCATGGGTTATTGTTTCCTTTACCTAGTTTTTGTCAAGTCGATTCCGGTCATTTTTATTTTTTGTATCAAATGTTGGGAGGTTGCTTGTTCACGTGAGCATAAATTTTTTAAACCCACCCCATGAAAGAAGTAGCTATAGGGCGTCAAACTTTGGGTGACGAAAAATGGGGAATTTAGACAGGCTTTGATATCCAGTCCGTATACAGATCTCGTTTGCCAGAATCGTCTGAAGTTAATATTGTGGTAACAGCATTGAGTCATCGATAAACTGTGTGAGTTTGGTCTTTCTGCTACGTATAGTAAAGGTGTAAGGACATGCCAAAGTTGGTATTTGGAAAAAGACAGATTTTGGCAATTTCACCATATGAAAAATGTTTTTTCAATTTTCTCATACAGATTTATCTAATATTGTACATTTATGTGTTTTGGGACTATCCCAACTTATAAACCAAATTTGGTCAAAATCTGTGATTGAAGCCTTAGCACCTTCTGCATGGTTTTCTCGCGGACATGCTCTTAAACTGCTTATCTGTACTTAGCCTAAGCAGAAAATGTATATCTTCGAACTCCATCATGGAGGACAGAGAGTTGGACAGGCCCTTTTTAATAGTACAATGTTTTCTTAGAAATGAGGTTCAGCATATGGACTATCCATTTATAGGAAAGATATTAACAGAAGCAAACCTTTACATGAGGTAATGATTATTTCTTTAGGTTAAGATAAAATCATCATATCTACTGGTATTATCCAATCAATATACAAAAAATTAGAATAACTAGATAGTATGAAGAAAATAGATTTCTCTTAAATATTAATGTTTGACAATATCTTTCTTTAAAGGGCAAACAGACAATGAACAGTCAGGTATTGATTACTGTTATATGTGTAGTTATATTAGTTATTATAATATATGGCAAAAAGCAAGTAATGTTACAAATATTAACAAATTGGTCTCTACAATAATCAGGGGAGGGGGTTGCAGTACGTAGGGATATATCATATAAAATGTTATAAAACCTCAGAAGGTACAATCTGCATATCCTTTATTATATAACAACGTAAAGAGAGTATTTGTATTTATCAAGCTTCGAAGAGCTAGGGACAATTTAATTAATTCACTCCGCTCGGTTGGCTTTCTTTTTTCTTACATCTCTATATGTGGGAAATATTGGGTGTTTTCACCCATCAGTGAGGCGAGGAATCATAGCTACGCCACTGATATCAACCTGACTATATTGTAAAATTAGAAATCTATGAGTGGCGGGCAGCCATCCCTGATTTCTCTCATGAAGCGACTAGTTTCGTTCATTTCGAACTCATCAGGCTTAAATGAAATTGTGCGGATGTTCCCTTTATATAGGCGTCGGGGACCGGAGCACAAAATTTTAAGGGATCTCGGATGGACCCGTGCAGTGCTGTATTACCAGAGCAACTGCTTCCGTATAATGGTGAACAGAGAGATGGCTAAAGAATTGCCGTTATAAAATGCTTATTTGCATAGACTCTAAGGCTCCCAACCCATTTGACTGTGTCATTTAAAATAATATAAACAAGTGGGAATTGTTTGGATAACTGGACTGGGTTATCGAATTGTGCGATATACGTAGGCCTACTAAGCTTTTCTAGTATTAGATAGCATAATTTGGAACTCGTCCAGACATGCACACTTAGTCTACAAGTAAACTTAGTATTCAACTGCTATTTGGCAATTGTGCTGTCGGGTTATGTTATCATGACGTGATAGAAATACCTAGTTGTCTTCACTAAGTTTTGGAATTGCCATATATATCGCGTATATTGGCGCGGTAAGATGGCCGGGTCTCTAAACTGAGCAACCGATCAACTCTGTCGTTATAGGTTCCCCGTTACTAATTGTTGGATAAGGAATATGATCTGTCACATATTTCTTCTGCTTGTTTGCGAAAAATATCTGAAGTAATAGCACTAGGGTTTTCAGTGATATTATGAAGCTTAAACACCATTCCTCGCGTTGAGAATAAGTGGGCGAAAGTCGCCATTGTGAAATAAGAATTTCACAGACTTTAATGTGTTGCAGAAAAATCACTAGAAAAAGCCTTTTTCATCTGCCACTCACACCACTTTAAAAAATTCTAAATCTGTCCCTGATAATTATATTGTTGTGATTATAAGTAGTATTGTTGTGTTACTTAGAAATAGAATGGAATACGAAAGATGGGGTTATGTTATCAACAATAATTCTGTAGTACTGGTTAATATAAGATCTAGGAAACAAATTGAAATGAATTTAATATTACTTCCTAATTTTCCGCACATGTAATAATTAGAAATATATTCCTACTTTTTCAGAATCGTCAACTTCATCTTCATCATCTTCTATTTGTTCACGTCTAGATCTTTTACGTTGTTTGTCCTTCTTTTTCAACAAAAAAGATGTCACTCGACTTTTCTTTTTCAGAGAACTTTCATTTTCCATCTTTTCTAGAAGAGTTGCTAAAAAAATGCATATAAAACATTAAATCACACTCTCTGTTCAGTTTTAGGTTCACACCAATATTTACACACAAATAAAACACTATATTTAGCCGTGGGATACATCTCTATGATATGTACTAAAATCAGAGGTTGCAGCAGACATTTCCCTATAATCGCAGTGAATATCACCAATTTTGTATGAAAAATATGCATTTGAAAAAATACATTGATAATCAATTGTACCATACTGTAATGACAACCAAATAGTTCTTGATGTTCCAAAATAATTGATTTGCCCCACTTTATTGCTGTGTCTTAATATACAGGTTCAATTTTCACTTACTTATAGTTGCCAAGTGCTAATAATTTCCATTAGTATCTTTAGGTTTCTATTGTAGCTTTGGTTATTACAAATTTGGATAAAATTGGTGTGATGTAAAAAAGACGATCTCTGTTTTCCAACTACCCATCATCAAGCCCGTAGCTAGTGTGTGTGTGTGTGTATGGGTGGAGGGAGGGAGGGGCAGATTTATGAGCACCTCGCCAATCATGTCGTTATATATGAGGCATCCCCCAAATGGCGAGGCAGCCATAAAACCAAGTGATATTGATTGGACGCCCTGCGAATCTGGCCATGGGCGCCCAAACCACAACTTGATTGATGGAGCACCCCAAAATGGCGAGATCTGTGGGGTGGCTTATCCTCGAGGGGAACCCGTAATGACATGATTGGTGGGGTGCCTTATAATGACAAAATATGACAATGTATGCACATAATGCATAATGCTGAGTGAGATTGGTTGGGCGCCCATGGCTTGAGCAATAGGGTGCCCAAAACACCATGATTGGTGGAGTGCCTCATCTCGGAGGGGAGCCCATAATGCTAAGATTGGTGGGCCGTCCACGACGAAATCTACCATAAGAAAGCCAACTGGAGATTGTAGGAAATTTTCCAGGTCAAATTCACAATGGGGATGAGATTAATTCAAGCCTGTGCCAAGTGTGATAATCTTCAAAATTCAAACAAGTCGCACTCTTAACCCGATTTCAAACTTTTCGTTTTTCTCATAAATTATTATAGTAAATTATTATAGTTACGCTAAAGTCATATTCCTTCCTTCAAATTTTTATAATGTTCATATCAAAATATCATAATACGCCAATACCGCAAATTCAGCCTCAAAATTGAAATTTTCCATCATTTGCATAGTTCATCTCCTCAGGTGCAAACCCTATTTTCCAAATTTTCAGGGGGGAGAGCCTCTAGACCCTTCTCCAAAGGGAGGTGAGTCCACGGTGCCGTTCGCCATGGACCGTCAAGTGTAGGTACATCCATGCCCCCAGAAGCCCTATTGGTGACCCCCAGAAGCCCTTGCCCCACCCCACCCAACAATTTTTGGTTTAGCTACGGGTCTGATCGTGGGTTTATGACAAATTATAGTTATATCTTACGTGGTTTTATTTCTTCTACATAGCTTGAGGGAAACCATCCTGTTTTTCCTAATACTTCACCACGGAACCAGCCATTTTCAGCTTGTTCCGTTACTGATACTACATCATCTTTCTGTAAACTGATCTGAGTTTCTAATGTAGCATCAAATGGATAAACCACACGATAGATTTTAATTCCTGAAATATATACAAAGTTCACATAAATATTGAACATCAAAGTCCCACCTTTATCACTACATAAAGAATAAATTATCAGGTCAGTAGTTATATCATATTTCTATTTAAATAGTTTTTTCAATGAGGATAATCTTACATTTTCAATAGTAATGACAATATTTAATTGCACATGAAATCATTGTACTGATACTTGACAGGAACTATGTTAGTCCCCCCCCCCCAAAAAAAAATTGTCCTGTGTGTCAATGTTTTAACTTTTATTTTCATTTTTCATCTCAACCAACTTAGTGAAGATTCACCCACAGCAGTTAAGTCGTCCAGGCAGTTGACAAGGGTTGTCCCATACTATTTCTTTCGTCGGTAATGAAACATTTACAATACACTCAATTTAAATGTGATTAAGAGTAACTACTCATTAAGTAATTATCTAGTTCTGACCCATGCTAACGTTTAGTATACAAAATATTTTATATCACCGATTTAGCTGTTTAAGTTATCAAAAATCATTGAAAATCAATATACTTGTTAGTCTTAAGACCTTAAAGTCTGTGTATAAATTAAAGTCAACCCAATGATAACTTTAACTTGTAGTGCATCCGCAATATTTTTCGAAGCAATCAAGGGCCATAACTCTGGCAGTAATTATCGGATATCCTTTAACAATCAATAGGTATCTTCGCCTCATAAACTTAAACACTGTGTATAAATTTAAAATCAACTGGATGATAACTTTGGCCTCTAGAGCATCAACAAGATTTTTCAAAGTAATCAAGGGCCATAACTCTGGCAGTAATTATCAAAAATCGTTGAAAATCATTAGGCTTCTCTGTCCCATGACCTTAAATATTGTGTATAAATTTAAAGTCAATCAGATATTAACTTTAGCCTCTAGAGCGTCCACAAGGTTTTTCAAAGTAATCAAGGGCCATAACTCTGGTATTAATTATCGGAAATCACTGAAAATCAATAGGCTTCTTCATCTCATGACCTTAAACACTGTGTATAAATATAAAGTCAATCATATCAGATATTAAGTGTATCTCTTGAGCACCAAAAGATTTTTCAAAGTGATCAAGGGCCATAAGGGCCATAAGGGCAGTAACGATCGGAAATCTTTGAAAATCAATAGACTTCTTTCGTCTTATGACCTTAAATACCATGTATAAATTTAAAATCAGTCGGATATTAACTTTAGCATCTAGACGGACGGACGACGACAATATACAATCACCTTTCAATGTGGGCGTATAAAAATAGAAAACTAGATTAAATGATGTACATTATCAGATTACCAAGGGATAATTATCATTATCTATTAACTTTAAAGACAGTTCATCATAATTAGCAGGTAGTTCACCTAAATAAAACACCATAAAGTATCTAAATCAATAAATTAACAATAAAATTATGATGAGGATTTGACAAGTCAAATTTATCAAATGTCTATAAAAATCAATATTGACCGTAACTGATTCTGTGTTTTATTATTTATTTTCTAAAAACTTGATCAATCACTTTTCATATATTGACAATGACTGAAACATTTCTCACAAAATACAACATTGATTGGTTTTTAAAAACAGATGATCATGTTCCATAATGACCAACTGGGTCTTAAATATTATAGATACTATATATTTAAACGGTTTAGGAGAACAAGTTAAAAATATCTATATTATATCTATATTTCTATTTGACACTTCAAACATATAAAAGCAGGTTTGTTATTCACAGCGGTACCAGATTTTAGAAGTTTATTCAGCCACTTTAAATTTGACTTTTAGCCCACAGATATGTTAGGCCTACTTTCTGATTAGTACTAGTCATAACATTATTTTCCTTTACAAATCAAGCTATATACGCCTGCATATTAAAGATATATTATTATTTAAGATTTAAAGATGGGTTCCCAGAAAAGTATTTATCGGGTGGTTATTGGCAATTTTGGTATGTATGGAAAGTAGAGATATCCAATCTTACTAGAAAAATACTCGATTCCCTGAAAAACACCCATGGAGCGTATACAGGACAAAAATGTAAGGGTTCCCCTAGTCGACAGCCCGACAATTAGGAATATCTGCATGCGTGACGTCAAGGGTTGCACGCAGAGATTGAGCGCTTGATGTACATGTTGATTAACTTTATGAAGAGTAGACGTACAAAACTTTCTGAGATAAAAATCACGGAAAAAGACGCGGGCAGTGGATAATCCGACAATTTAATTAGGATTCAATATTTGTAATAAATAGTCAGAAATTAAAGACAACATCGTCTTGTGTATGCAATGAATTCTCCTCCGACCTCGCACCCGTAAGTCATGTGACACAAACATGGCCTCTTTTGATCGATTTTTTATAGCAAGGTTATTCCTTGACAATTTACAATGTTTTGAGAAGAATTTGAAGCAAATTTATGATAATTAATTAGTTTGAATATGTTTTTAGGCCAAATATATCATCACCCAGTTTGAACACGGGAATGTATCTTTAAATAAAGAGCTGGCCATTCTTGCTATAACAGTTCAAAAATAGATAATGCAAAATGAATATATTGAAAATTTCATTCAAATTACTTTATTCCGAGCCAAGTTATTTATCACTCTTTGTCTTTTTGACACGATGTCTGCATTGATTTTTTTATTATCATAACAACAGTACTGGTATAATCAAGTCTTAAATTAGCGTCGCTTTCAAATTTTTAAATTAAATCATCAAATGGCCGAACTGTTCTAATCTAGTAAAAATTTCCAGTGTCCGATGGCATCCAGAGTTGATTATGGTCTTGTCACGTTAATAAAAGTCTAATTAATAATTTATATAACATTTAAAGCCTAAAGAAAGTCCTGCAATATGTAGATTTAACTCTTGAATAATGTATCCTTAATGAGCATAGAAGAATTCTATTTCAAGCCATAGTTTAGTATTTATTTAAAAGTGTTGTAAAATTATAAAGGTAAACCTCAACACTGGTAAAGGGATGTTTAAATATTTTATAGACCACAGCATACCTTTAGAATCTAGTTCTGCTATATTTTTATTATTAACAGTAGTAGTTGATTGTGTTGGTTGTTCTGTAGATTGACCACCAACATTATTAGATGATATAGAATTTGGTTGTAAAGATATGTCAGATACAGGATTCATCCATAAATCTCTACTATCTGATCTCATCGTAAACTGAAAATTCAAAAAGATGTATATACATTATTACTATCAGAAATTTAAACTTTTGAATCTGTTTTTGTCAATAAATTTGACTTGTTCTATGTATTTCACTGACATACTTTCTCATTAACAATCACTTGGTTCATGCATTTCAGTCATAGGTAAATATATTAAAATGAATGTATTTTTGATAAATTCCACAATATACCAAACTGACATCAGAGATCAAATTACGCCCAAATAACATTAACGATTTGTGACATTAATACAAAATGAGTTTTTGTATATACAATATTTTGGGTTCTTCTTGAACTATTTCAGTTATTTTTCAAAATACCAGTACTATAAAATCATTAATCTTTGAATAAATTTATAATGAGAAGATATAATGATGTAAAAAAACAGCTACTAGTTTATGATATAAGAAAGTAGACCTCTACTTAGACTCAGGTAAGAGTTAATCTGAGATTATCTTTAACCCAGACTACTAGGGCTTTAACAACAAGGAAATATCACTTACTCGTTTCTTTTTGCGTTTGTTGTAACCAACGAAAGAAGCTATAAGTACTATCAATATAATAATAAAACTAACAGGTAGAGCTATATATAACACTGTGAAATCAAATTTTCTTTCTGAAATAAAACAAGAAAGATTTTATAGAATAAACTATTATATTATAAATTAGTGTAAATATATTTGACCATCCTCAATGTATCTTAAATAAATGTTTTTGTAAAATTGATACTGTAACCAGAAATATTAGTCAAGATACAAAATTCGAATTAAAGTAGCTAAGTCTCTAACTCAATATCATCCAAAATCTTCGACAATGAAAACACGAATTATGTCAATTTAAAATCAACAATGATGTTCTGATCTTACCGGGAAAGATGGGCTTCTGATATCCAATATTTAAGACAAAATAAAAAAATTACCATTGGTACACAAATCGTGTACCATAATTATGCGTTTCAAGTCCATTTTTAACAAGGGACTTGAAGAACAAGGCTCGACGGTGACGCATAATTCTTACCTGGAGAGCATATGCAATACATACTATGTAGACTAGAATAACCAGACGCTAGAGATTTACTTTAGATTGAGACTTCAGGCGTATTTCGCCGAACATAACTGATTTGAAATGAGAGTAAAGACGGAAATAATTGAATATAAATCAGTTTATATACATTCATATTACATTATTATATGCGTTGTGACCCATTATTGTGTCAATTTCTAGGTCCCAAATATTAGCGACTTAGCTCCTTTAACAAACTATGCAAAATTATGACCACAATATGACAAGATACCCATAATGTGAAGTGATAACTGAAAGTTCAGTGTCTCAGACAATTCTCTGTGGTAAATTTAGAGGGGGTGGAATCCAAAATGTTTTCTAAGATTTCTGTTATTAGTTTAACTTTGACTCAAAAGCTGTGTTAAATATTTCAATGTAGTAAGTTATAATTCTATATTGAATGTTTGAATCAATTCAACTTTAGCGATCTGATATATCCATTTTCCTACTAACGGCTGTCAACTGTTTCATTTGAGAAATTCACATCAATAAGACATGAAGATTTGTGGACTTATTTTCATACACTGAGGGTCAAAATGACTGACATTTATTTCAATCACCTCAACATGTCATTCATTATAAAGTCAAACAATGATACATGTACAGCTATGGCCATCATTCATGTAAGAAAAATAAGATGTCAACAATGGTATTTATTTTGATATTGTGTCTAATCTGTCATCACTACTGTTGTGTAAATATTCTCTTAATTCACTTGGGACAAAATAAACACACAAATTGTATACATGATACACAATCTTTATTGTCAAATAATTGACATTATTCTGTTGAATTTCGCTAATTTGTAATGTGTTACCAACTTGCAATTGAATGCTGTATTTAAGTATGTGTTACTGATATTACTTGAATCAAATTACTTGATTGCATTCCACTGAAAGGATTCGTATTTGCGTAGGTTGTGCTGTAATATGTCATATGTAAACTGCCATTCTTGTTTAAGTCAGCAATATCTTGCCTTAAGAAACACGCTCTGTCTGAGTGGTATCCAAAGTTGTAATTTAACTAGTATAAACTAAACAGGCTAAATGATATTCTTGTCACGGTTTTAGTCTGATGGTTAAAAATTAACAACTTGAACAGGTAACAAATATTTTAAACAGATCCTTTCCACAAACATTTTGAACTGTTATTTCCACAAATAAATTAAATAGATCATTTCCACAAATATTTTGAACAGATCAATTTCACAAATATTTATGGTTATTTGCCGTATATAATTGGTCACCAGCGTAGCAGAATAAATGTCATGGAAAAACTTGTGGTAAACAATAAGGTTTCTATTTCAAGCTCTTAAATCTGTATATAAGCTTAAAAAATTGATATATTTTCTCATTATCCATGCTGGACAATTATTTGGTTTATGCATTTCAATAACAGGTAAATATTTTTGTAAAATAAATTTTCGAGAAATAAGTCGTGGACGGATATATGAGTTTCGATTCACCCCATTGATTATTTGATCCTCCAAAGCATGAGGTTCTTCATCAGGTAATTGCTTCATAGTTCTAATTTATAAGCATATATCTTAATGCAATCTAATTACAACTAATTACGGTCAGAACCTACGCTCTAGTCATTTAATTATTTAATAAATGACATTTAACACCAACCATCTTGTGTTTGTTTATTTGTTTCAGGGTTGTTTTCTCCACAAATAGTTATTTGTCATTAGTTGTTCTGGTTTAGTCTTGTATTATACCATTATTAACCATGCTCAATTTCAGATGTGTTGGCCGAGATATATGCCATCAAATCGACTGAAAACATATGAAACCCATGTCAAATGACACCCCTATGCATTCAAATGAATGCATTTTAATTAACTTAATAATAAGCTAACACTAGAATTTAATGTTTGCCCTGAATAACATTAATGATTTTTTACACTTAGAGTTTCTTGCTTTTTGTACTACATGTATTTTGAAAACTCAAAATACCAGTACTATATCATTAACCTTTGAATAAAATTAATCATGAGCAGAAAAAATGAATTCATGTAAAAATATAAAACAAAGTATGCCTAGATACTTAAACTGGGGTAAGAGTTAATCTAAGATTATCTTTAATCTAGCCTAAGCTACTAATAGGCATTTAATATCAACAGAACTTACCAAATTGAAAACTAAAATAATTCTGATGATCATAAGACTTTTATTTGGCTCAAATCTACCAACAACTAGGCCTATACCCAAAATGCTTTATTAGCATCAGAAACATGTTTTGGACAGAATTACTCAAATATTTTGCAAGAAAATATTTGAATCACATAGTCCTACTTTAAGCATCAGTGAAATTTGATTTAAAATGCTTCAACATATATGGGAAAACTTATCTAAAAAGAAATGCTAACTTGGCAAAGAATATGTTTTCAAGTGACAATTTCTTGTAAGAAAACTAAGTTTCCATGAATGTGACAGAAACCTTAATGAGCATGATTCAGTATGATAAATATTTGTCACCATGTATAATATACTGTTTCTGGTTGAAATAAAAAAGTTTGTGAAATGTAACATATATAGGTTTGTCTAGCCTAGCTATAGTTAAATTACTGTGTATTTATATTTGTGAGTCATTTTATAAACACCAAAACAACTTTCTTACTTGAAGCCATTTCCTGTTTTAGATAACTGCACCACTCTGTATCTCAGTTTATAAATTCCTGTTTATAAATATGTACAGTGAGGCTATAATACAAGTACAGTGTCATTTTAATTCTATGAAATAAATGTTTCCATCATAAACCCCATTAAAGTTATGTATTTGTTGGTACTTTGATCATTCTTCCTAGATGAAATATCTTCATTATGCATGACTAAACATCCTTACTGTCATAATATAACTCCTACTGTTTTTGCCATTGATTTGGATATTCTGATTTTATGTGTTGTTCTGTTTTTTTTTGTTGGGCAGAGTTTGTTCCGTACATTAAACATGATGGCAAATTGCTGAAGCTTACGTCATAATACAGTTTTAAATTCACAAAATTTCCAAGCTATGTTTATTTGATGAGAACTGAATGAGCTAATGATATTGTATCAGAAATAATCAGGTTAAATTCTATCGCACACATCAGATTATAAACTAATAGCTCCACAAAAAATATCGGACTGAAAAGCAAAACAGAAAATAATGTTATAAATGTATGTCAATATGACCAAGAAATATATAATCCTTTCCTTCAAAAGATAAGCATTTAACTTTGTAAAACATAGGAGATTAATGTTGACCTTGACAATATTGTACATTACCAGTATACCACAAAATAATGTGTCCCTGTGCATATAAAAGATGATCCCTTGGAAGTTGGGATTTAAAGGGGCGGTCTTAGATATATTTTTGGGAATACAACTGATTAATTATGTGGGAAGATCTCTCATTTTTACCCTATTATAGTCCGTGCAACTAGCTGAAGATCTGCTATTATACTTTATCGAAGAAATATTTACGATAACAAAGATTTGCCAATCCTGTACATGTTTTTTCCATCCTGGGCCCTTATTCACGAAAACTTAAACTAAGCTAAAAATCGAAATTTTAAGAAATACTGCAATTCGATTGGCTGACCAGTAAAATCAATTTGCATATATCCAATAAAGTTGCAGTATTTCTTAAAATTTCGATTTTATCTTAGTTTAACATTTCATCATAAGAGGTCAATACAATATGAAACATGAGAATATTTACATGGTACTAATTATCAAGCATCTAAATGAAGAGGTGTAACTTTTAAACACTAATGAGTGTTAATTGTTTCCTTCTAGTTCTACGTAATTGATTTGTTAAATTTTACACACAAATATCAACCAAGCAAGTTTTAAAATTTTTCAGATGTGATACTGCATGAATTTTTTTTAATTTTTATACGCCCACACTTTGCATGAGGACATATACTGTTATCACCCCTGTCCGCCTGGACGTGCGTCTGTCCACAATTATATTATGTAACCAGCGGCTGCCAGGCAGGATACGCCCACATTTTGCAAATGGATAGAGAACAAACTGAAAACAAACAGGATTTTTTGTACAATCAGGGGCAATAATCCAAAAGTTAAGGTCTGAAATGTGCAAATATCAAAAGGGACTTAGATCTTTGGGATATAAAGATACGTTTTAAGTTTCATCAGAATATGATAAAAATTGTGACCTCTAGAGGGTCCACAACCTTCGTATTGCATACTTTTACACAATTTGCGTACAAAGAGCGGCCATTTTATCGGGCAGTTTCATTTCGATTTTCCTGAAATTCGAATTCAAGCTTCATTATGGTGGAATGGTGAAATATTTAAGCTAAAAATGCGATTTTTCGAACAATCAGGAGCCATAATCCAGGAAGTTACGTTCGGATATACGCGATTATCAAAAGGAATGTGTGTAATGGTGATATATTCACATGTTTTTTTAAATCAGATAAAAATTGTGACCTCTACATGGACAGCAAGCTAAAAAATGTGATTTTTTGTTCAATCAAGAGCCATAATTCAGGAAGTTATGATCGGATACGCGCGAATATCGACAGGAACTAAGATCTTTGGGTTATAAACATGTATTTCAACTCTCATCAAAATCAGGTCAAATTTGTGACCTCTAGTGGGTCAACAACCTTGAAATACCAGATGCTATACACTATTTGCGTACGAAGGACGGCCATTTTGTCCGGCAGTTTTGGCCTGATTTTCACAAAATTTGAACTCAACCAAAATTACGGTGTAGGCTAACAGTGATATATTTGAACGTTTTTTTAAATCAGATAAAAATTATGACCTCTAAAGGGTCCACAAGCTAAAAATCCTTTTTTTCGTACAATCAGGGGCCATAATTCAGGAAGTTATGGTCCGATATGCAAGAATATCTTAAGGAACCGAGATCTTTGGTTTATAAACTTACATTTCAAGTTTCATCAAAATCAGAAGAAAATTGTGACCTCTAGAGCTGTCTTGAGGGTCCACAACCTTGATATTCCATATATTTGAGCACGAGGGGTGGCCATTTTGTCTGTCAGTTTTGGACCGATTTTCACGAAATTCAAACTCAACCATCCTTAGCGTGTAACAGTGATATACTAAAACGTTTTTTTAAATCAGATAAAATTATGACCTCTATAGGGTCCACAAGCTAAAAACGCGATTCTTCATACAATCAGGGGCCATAATTCAGGAAGTTACGGTCACATATGCGCGAATATTGAAAGGAACCGAGATCGTTGGGTTATAAACTTAAATTTCAAGTTTCAACAAAATCGGATAAAAATTGTGACCTCTATAGGGTCCACAAGCTAAACATGCGATTTTTCATACAATCAGGGGTCATAATCCATGAAGTTACGGTCCGCATGCCAATATCAAGAGGAACCAAGATCTTAGGGAGATAAAGCTATATTTCAAGTTTCGTTGAAATTGGATAAAAATTGTGACCTGTAGAGTGTCCACAAACAATTGTGGATGGACGTCCGGACAGCAGGGGCGACGACAATATACGTCCACATGAAAAAGTGGGTGTATAAAAATATGGTATATCAAGGTTGTGGACCCTCTAGAGGTCACAATTTTGATCTGATTTAGATGAAACTTTAAATTTATGTTTATATCGCAAAGATCTTGGTTCCTTTCGATAATCGTGCATATCCCATTTTTAGCTCGTGGACCCGCTAGAAATCACAATTTGTATTCAATTTTAAAAAGCGTTTAAATATATCACCTTTACACATCAATGAAGGTTGAGTTCAAATTTCGTAAAACTGCTGGAAAAAATGCCCGTTCCCTGTTAGCAAATAATGTAAAAGTTACACCGTAATGATAGTTGAGTTCGAATTTCGTGAAAATTGCACAAAAACTGTCGGACAAAATGGCCACCACTATACACAAATAGTGTAAAAATATGGTATACCAAGGTTGTGGACACTCTAGAAGTCACAATTTTTATCCGATTTTGATGAAACTTGAAATGTATGATTATTATCCAAAGATCTTGGTTCATTTCGATATTTGCGCATAACAGACCCCAAATTCCTGGATTTTGGCCCCTGATTGTACGAAAAATTATGTTTTTAGCTTTTTACCCGATTTTAAAACATGTTTAAGTGTCTCACCATTAGAACCTAACAATGGTTGAGATCGAATTTTGTGAAAATCGGACTGAAACTGCCTGACAAAATGGTCGCGCCTTGTACGCAAATAGTGTAAAAGTATGTAATGTAATATCAAGGTCGTGGAGTGTGGACCCTCTAGAAGTCACACTATTTATCTGATTTTGATGAAACTAAAAATATATCTTTATATCCCAAAGATCTCACTCACTTTCGATTTTTGCATATTTCAGACCATAACTTCCTGGATTATAGCCCCTGATTGTATGAAAAATCACTTTTTTTCATAGCTTGTTCTCTATCCATCTCTTGCAAAATGTGGGCGTATCTTGCCTGGCAAGTGCTGGTTAGTACTGTTTTCAAAAGGCTCTACTAATACAAATGTATGAGAATGGAAGCGTAGCAATCTCCAAACTAAAAGGTCCTGGTCAAAGTATCAAAATTTCTTCCAAACTATTCTGACTTTGAATCAAAAAATTATTCAAGGTTTACAACAGAATATTGTTCTACTTTAACTTTCTTTTCATAGATACTTCATTGATAAATCTACTTATTTATTTAAAAAGAATATGACCTATTTTCATCTTTATTTATATGGATCCAAAAGCAAAATATTGCAGTCATCTTGTGAAACTATACAATAGGAAATTTCATTTGTAGTGCAAGGGGGTAAATTTGGCCCATACAGTGATGTTTATGACTATTCATTTTTTGATTTTAAATCACCAAGGTATCTTTTAAAAGGCACCACCAAATCATACATTGGACCTCTTTCCTTTTCCTATTATACTAAGCAGACCAAATCTCTTTTTCAGCTGAACAAAAATGAAAATGAAATGAAATGAAATGGGGTTTAACGTCCTACTGGTCTGCTCCGAACTGGGCTAATGAAGACGGGCATACAGTGTGCTATGAGAGAAATTTTGCCCGGACAGCGGCACTATGGCCTACTCTTATATCGAATTCCAAAAGTCAAGGGATCTTTTACGTGCACGCCAATGTGTACACAGAACCTCGGTTTTTCGTGCCATCGGTCCTGCATCACTGACAATGGGGAAACCAAGCCGGAAAATCTGGATGAACTTTCTCGGCCAATACAGGGATCGAACACCAGACCTCCAGGGAACAAAAAGGAAGAAGGTTTGAAATTTATCCCAAAGTTTTTATACCAGCATTGAAATCCAAACCAAGTGCATGCTTCATAAAGCTTATGTAAAGTTATATACACCTAAGTTCAATAAAGTTGTATTGTAAAATGTTTTGATTTGTGTTTGTAAAACTTGTGTGTGCTTTTGAAACAGTGTATATGGGAATTGTCATTATGAGCAAGGCTCTTAATTCATTTTTAAATGAACCCGCCAGAATTGGGTCACTAGAGTTTGTTGTCAACTTCAGCATCAATAAGATTCCATTGCCTTTAATATAAATAGGCTTCAACAAAATATATTTCTTATTAATTTGTTATGAAACATATTGTATTCTGAATAATTTTTATCATTACTACACACTCTAAACACCAAGCCACACAATCACCCCAATATATAACATAAAAAAATGATGTAACATATTACCTGAAGTACCAGGTGTTGATGTTGAACTAGAGATAATATTAGATGTATCTGATGTAAATCCTATTCCAGGTGAAGAAACTATCGCAGATGTACTAGATCCTCCCTGGAATGTAGATGATGGCTGAATACTACTCAAAGTCACACTAGCACTTGGTAAAGTTCTGGAATCTGGAAGAACATTTATCATGGAACTACTTACGATAATGTCATTTTGGCTAGGCGTTTGCATTGATGAAGTAATACTAATAAGGGAGTTATGATTTTGAGATGTGACCGGATCGGTCATAGTCGATATACTGATACTAGGAGATACACCACTTGACATAGAAGCAGATAGAAACGATTGGTCATACATTATTATTTCCTGAGTATTTGATACGCTGAGACTGTTTATGTCATTATTATATTGCACATCAGAACTAGTTAACAGGATGTTAGAATAAGAGGAGGCAAGTTTATCCGTTGATTCTGTTGATTCGCTGGGTGAAACACTTAGTTCAGTTGCAGATGGAATCAGAGAGTTTACATCCATCTCTGACATGGTTGGTGTTAAAGTCATTGTTGTGACTCCTGACATCTTTACTTGGGTCACTGATGTCGAATCATCGGCATAACTTGTTTCGATTTGGTCACTGGATAAATTTCCTGTAGTCATATTGTCGTGTCGATTCTGGACATAAGTAACTTCTTTAGTATAATTGTGATGGTATGTTTATACAATCTGACTTCATTCTATTTCAGGTAGTTGTATGACCTTCAAAAAAGAAATACAAGAAAGTGATATAAATGTAGGGAAAGTCAAATTTCAAACTTTAACGTCAATGAGGTTAACAAGTAAAATATTTGCAAAGTTGGCAACTTTGAAAATCTATGACTAAACTCTTTGGATATCAATGATGGCATTGTTTCCCACTGTACTGTAGTGTATCCAGCCTAAAGATCCCCAACTCTGAATACATCTCGTGCTATATACACATTGATAGTGTAATTTAGTTGCTGCCTTGGCATTTAACAATAGCAAAATTATCCCCCATATTATTGCACAATGTACAGTTGAGAGATAACTTATAATAACTAATTAAGTATTGTCAAATAGACAAAGCAGAATGACCTAAAAAAGGAAAACATGTACAGAAAAAAATTGGTACACATTCCAAAAGAAACTGCGAGAGAGAGAGAGAGAGAGAGAGAGAGAGAGATGAGAGAGAGAGATGGGTTTAACGTCCAGTCAACACAAATTAGGTCATTTCGGGACTAACACATCGTTCAATTATATTTCAATCATTCCCTTGCGCTTAAGGGTCTTTAGCAGTGGGAGGAAACCAGAGGACCCGGAGAAAACCCACGAGGTTGGACAGGCGACCCTACTCCTTGCCACGTACAACCGGGGAATCAAAATCATCCCAGTTGACTCAAAAACTGCTTAGATCTTGCGATCTCCATTTGTCAGTTTACAATATGAATTTTCTATTCCTATATGCATCAGATAATGGAAACATCAGCAAATATTTTACTTAAAGTCAATAAATAATATTCCTACAGGATCAATAACCAACAGTCTACATCAGCGCATATAGAGATCTCAAAGAACCTTTAAAATCTCAACAATATAACAAAATTCTACTATCAGCTCTAAAATATTTCCTTTTTTTTATAAATATTGAGAAATCAAATCGGCAAACATGACATATATATAGTTGGTCTTAATAAAATGAAATCATCACTCCCCTTTTGAAATATTAAAGAAATATGAATCAGGAGTTTTGGGAAAGTCAAGGATCAGTACACTTACAAAAATATACACAAATGAATTTCTGGTATTTTATCTTTAAAATAACATCTTTTACAGATGATATAATGTCTCTGTACACATGGTATCAGCATGTGGTGTGTCTGTAAATTCAATTAAAACACACCCAGACCGAACATTGCAATTCATATCATTTTCATATTACAGTAATACAAAATCATCAATATTTTGATTGGCAAAATACACCAAACTGTAGCATTCAGTTGCAGATACAGGATCTTTATATGGCAGGATCCATTGTAGAAGGGTCAAATATTGTTGATGCCATGCGGAGCAAGTAACAAAACAACACTGGACTATGCGCCTATGGACCATTCAAAACTAACTGGAAAAAGTCATTTGTGTTTCTTATTGACATGTTTTTAATAAATATTTTGTTATTTTTCGGTATATACTTCTATTATTAACCGTGTTGGATACAATAGGGCACTTAGATCAATTTTGGGTGGGTGACTCTCTAGTTTCCTCCCTTGTTCCACCTTTAAAAACTGTGGCTTTTATTGGATAGATACAACCACCATGAACTAGCATACATGTAATCCTGATGGCTTTTCTTATTTTAGTAGCCAGATATATTCTCATGTAACTTTTAGACAAACAGCACTGAAGCAGTTAGGCGTGAATACTTTTTAGTATTTTTTCACATAAATTCTTCGAAGTTTCACAGTGATTATGAGAAAATTTAATTTGGACTAAATATAAGATTCTCTGTAATTTGATCTATCATTATGAAAGTAAACAGTATAGGAATAGTGAAAGTCAGAAAGCTTTATAAAGATACTTTCCCACAAAAGTATTTATCAGATGGTTATTTCCAATAAAAGTATGGCAATTTTGGTATACATGGATAGTAGAGACACCCAATCTTAATAGAAAAATACTGGATTCCTTGAAAAATACTCATGGAGCACACACAGGACAAAAATGAGATGGTGTCACTAATTGGCAGCCTAAAGTTTAAGGGCTGTTTGCTTGACTGACGTCAAAGGTTCGATGTGACACAAATATGACTTCTTTTAATAGATTTTTTTATAACTTGGGTATTTCCTCGCGAATACAATATTTTGTGAGGGATTTAAAGCAAATTTTTGATAGATTAATTAGTCTGAATATGTGTTTAGTCCAAATATATCACCAAATCACCCAGTTCGTATGCGGGAAGGTATCTTTAAAGAATATACTTTCAGATTGATCAATGATCAATTACATTTAAATTAATAAACAATCACATACTATATAATTACAGTTAATGTAGGCAGTCTGTTGATTTTTTGTCTGTAATACCAAAAATGTTTTATGGTTAACTTTAACATTTTGGGTGTTTTAATTTTATAAAGAAAAATACCCACATACATGGATTAGCTGATATATAGATGCATATAATCAAATGTTTTTTTGTATGAAATCTTGCACTTTTCAACACTGCTTCTTTTTACATTTAAGATGATAGAAATTTTCTGTTTACTGGTTTTTTTTTAGCTAGGCACATAACTTTTATGCACCCCCTTTAAGGAAGAAAGATCTTTTGTTCGCTCTCAATTGTTAATTGTGTATTTTTTTTTTCTTTTTAAACAAAAAAATATAAAGTTTAATATTTTAAGCAACAAAAAAATAGTGCACTCATTCGACAGTGTGAAACAAGTATTTAGCCAGCATTTAAAAACGTATGAAAGCATAGAAAATATTTTCTTTAATATTCTATGGGTTTTAATACTTGACTATGACAATAGATGAGCCTGGAAGAACAATGACTTCTATAACCACAGAAACATAAACAAAACAAACCTTAAATTTGTTGTACTTACCTATTTATCTTTGAGGATTATCATGATTCACATTTAACTAATCCTCTCTTTTATTGTAAGAAATACTTTACATTGGGTAAAATCTCTTGTTCACAGTCAGCAAACATATACACTGAATATATTAGAATCTTACATAATCTGATATGCCTTTTCGTAGAAATGAGACAAACAATTGACTGAGTCTCTCTGCTCTATGTACAGTGGACCTTAACTCAGGAAACACACCAAGTGAAATTTCCTGCATTATTTCAAGTTGTGATTGGCAGGTCAAATTCTTGGTTTCCTTTTAAACCTCACTCCCTTCATATTGCATTACATGTATTAGAGATAAGTCTTATAATAAATGGAGTTTTAATATTTATTATGTCCCATGTGTCGATATCATCCATGTACCATGTTCACTCTGTTACTTATCATGCTAAACCCGAATGTGGTTATCTGTAGGACATATGGTGTGGCTAATGAAAATTTCTTCACTCACAAAAAAAATACATCTGGAAAAGAAATATAATACAGTAGTTAATTTAGTAATATTAAAATTCTTCTTTAGATTGGCAAGTAAGTTAAAAACGAGTATAATGTTATCTGTTAGCTACCGAATAGTGACTCCAATTTTAGACATTCCAATATATTAGGCCTACCAGAATATAAAGTGGTTCCGCTATTTATTTTAAGATTCTTTTGGTCATCAAATATAAATTTAACAGATTATTGGGTGTAAGAATTTTAACCCAACTGGGATGCAGGCTTGAAAAATGACAAAGATTCTTCCCAGTTCATGCTGAGATATGAAAAAATGTAGCAGCATTGCAACCAGTATTCATCACAACCACTGTTGATAAGTTTACTTTCTATCATCAAAAATTAAACGATGACTAAAATGGTAGTGCCACTTTAAAATATTTTCATTTCAATGGCCACCTAGATGTAGATAACCCTGGTTATTATTTCTATAATTATGTTAGGCAACTTTCAAATGTAAAAGTTTAAATCTATAAATACAGAAATGCCAAGCACCCAAATAGCATCAAACCAACTGGAATCTGAAGTAATTATATGCTTTTTTGCTAGTTTTAAAATTAGATAATTGATTTAAAACTGTATGTAGACATGTTGTTGAAATGTTTGGAAGCATGTATATATAAGATAACATGATGATATACTTCCCAAAACAGGAACTAATTGTGTATGTAGATATACTTACAGAACACGCTATGTCAGATGTTTCCAAAGTTAAATATGTGAGTGCTATTTTCCTGTATATCTTATATAAGTAAAGGGATATGATAATGTTGACTTTTTTTGTTTATTCTGCTAAAATCTGGTTTCACCTAATTTCTAATTAATTTTAAAGTTTAAATGAAATCCTTTCTGTAGAGCTGCAGAGAAAATTGCATTTTTATACCAAGTTGCGTCATCTTTATATTATGCGTTTTGTGAATTAACATTGGTAAATTGACATGAATTTTATTAGCTCACAAAAGACAGCAGATTATTATGCTATCAATATTGACATATCCAGAAATCCCCAAATAAACAGATGACACATATTAATTAATGGCACATTAATTTTTTTCAAAAGTATCAAGCAATCAAACTGATTATCAACTATACACTAAGTTTCATCACTCTCTATCAGATAGAATCAAAGTTATCTTGTCCCAAAGCATCGACCAATGAAATTGCTTAGCTCTGCTTAGGTTTAGCTTGAAATGTTAATCATTGAACTCAGTCAAGACATTCACCTAATGAACATCTACATCAAGTTTAAACATTCTACTTTAATTAAAAGCAGAGTTGTTATGTTCCAAAGTCTTGACCAATCAAATTGTTTATCGCTCCTTAGCCTAAGCAGAAAATTTCACATCATCGAACTTAGTCAAGGTAATGATATAATGAATCTATACTCGAAGTTTCATCACTCTCACTTAATTAAAACCAAAGTTATCATGCCCCAAAGCATCAACCAATCAGATTGCTTATCTCTGCTTACCATAAGCAGACAATGTTTATCACCAAACTCCATCAAGGCATTCACCTAATGAATGTCTACACTAAGTTTGAACATTCTACCTCAATTAGAAGGCGAGTTATTGTGTTCCAAATTGCCTATCGCTGTACTTACCCTGAGCAGAAAATGCTCTCTATCGAAACTAGTCAAGGTATTGATGTGATAAAACTATACACCAAATTTCATCACTCTCACTTAATTAGAACTAAAGTTATTGTGTCCCAAAGCATCAACCAATCAAATTTCTTATCTCTGCTTACCCTAAGCAGAAAATGTTCATCTTTGAACTCCATCAAGGCATTCACCTAATAAACACCCGCACCAAGTTTGAACATTCTAGCTCAATAAGAAGGAGAGTTATTGTGTTCCGAAAAGTGTGACGGACAGACAGACGGACGGACAGACAGACAAACGGACGAACCCATTTTAATAGTCCCCTGCTTTCTTCGAAAGGCGGGGGTGAGGGGGGGACAAAAAACATCATACCCGTAACTGAGTAAAAAAACTGTCTGTTGCCTATAAAGAATGGGTTGGTTTCATCAAAAATGCCACTCTATCTTGGACTTGGCTTCGTGTAATTTGCAATCATCCCAGATAAAGGATGATGGAATGCTTGTAGTAACCCATGTCAGAAGACATTCTTATTCTCTCTTAACAAAACTGGGTCATGTTTTCAAACCATATAAATAATTACAATTACCGGTATACTCATTTTTAAAATACATTGTCACTTTAATATTGAAAGATAAAACAGGATGTATATATTTCTATTGGACAAGATGTTAATACAGGTTATATAAATATAAATAAATCTTAAAAGAAACAAAACATATTATTCTCTGACTTTTTAAATCTTTTCTACTCTAAATCTTTTGTATTGCAAATTGTAGAACATTTATAATGAACATTATGTTCATATTTGGCACATTTAAACTAAAAAGCGCAACTTATTTTATACTTTTTATTTTGTAAACTTGTTTATTAATAAATCAGAGTAATAGTGGATTAAAATTAGTGAGTAAAAAAAATACTTGCTCGCAAGTGTGTAGGTCTCGGGTTCACCCCCGGTTTTGAGCGAGAAAGTTCCTCAGTATTTTCCATCGTGGTGTCCCCATGTCAGTAATGCATGTCAGAGGGCCTAACAAGGACAGGTGTCTAGTCGGTTTGCATGCCTGTAAAAGAACCCTTGGCAGTTGGAATTCGATATAAGAGTAGGCCGTAGTACCGCTGTCCAGATAAAATTTCACAATAGTGTAGGTCAGAGGGCCTAAGAAGGACAGGAGTCAAGTCGGTGTGGAAAGTGAGGTCCTGTGTACACATTTGCATGACGGTAAAATAACCCGGCCTGGCAGTTTGAATTTGATACAAGAGTAGCGCCGCTGTCCAGGCAAAATTTCACAGTATATGTACACTGTATGGTGTATGCCAATCTTCATTAGCCCAGTCAGAGCAAATCTGAATAACTATTCAATATTTTAAGTAGATGAAGCTCCAAGGTCATTTTAAGATTCTGATTTTAAAACAATCCCAAGATCAGTATGGAAAAGAAACTGAGCTGTTGTCCAAGGAACAGGTACACCAAATTTCCTGTGGGTCACACTTAAAGTGACAGAGCTGAGGCTTTTTTCAAGAAAGAAGAAGACGGAAAACAACAACAAGATGAGTAGCGCTTTGGGCCCAGCTCCTGGTCCAAAAATTTGTAATCACAAGGCACAGCCAAACTGAGTAAACAATTAGCTCATACCCTTTCCAGTTACTTATTTGGGTTTTTTGGGGGGGCTCATGCTAAAAGATCCTAGCTATACCACGGTAAATTAACTACGACCGACCAACACTATAGAAGTTATTCTAATTGTGTATCCCTAGATGGTCCAGGGAAAGATCTAGCTTCAAGAAATGGGTCTTGTAAAAGCTGTGCATGCATGTATAAACAGTCCTGTTTGAGCAATACAAGCAACTGTTTATGTCCAGGAACAAAGTGAATGGTCCAGTCGTAATTTATTTTATCAAATTTATTAAAACTTCATGGCACAATAATGGGGAAGAGGTCCACACATCCTGATGTCATAGGGTCAACAGCCGCCCGTATGATCACTGACGTGACCTCCCACTACAACTGGTCAGATCTTCATGTAGTAGAGGCCATCGAAAGCATAAAAAAAAAACGAAACGAAATATAGATCTGTATTTTATTCAGATTGTTTCTGATCAAAGAAATTGTTTCATCTTGTCTTGCATTTTTAACAGTACAATCAAATTTTAGTTTGTAAATCAATTAAGTACCTTATTAAAAGCTTACTAATTTCATTTTCTCTCTGATTGTTAATACCAGGAACCTGCAGCTGATAAAGTTTATATTGGTTAGATTTATATATAAATTACTTCCACTTAACTTTCTTCACCTTGTCATAATATCATCTCATATTACTCAAGGTGTTGCTTATATCTGATTATTTCCTTGTATCAAAATTAGAAGTGTCACACATGATACATACACCTTATTTTTGGGTTAAGTTATTGGATTTTGAAATGCATCCCAGTCCCACTTCCATTCAATTAATAACTTTTGCAAGTGTAAAACCGACAATATAATAGCTAAAGACGGGAATCAGGGTACATCTGTTTATATCAGCTATTTTTTTACCAAGTGTTGAAGAATTTGTGAAATATGGTCATCTTTCATCTCTAGTTGACTTGAGAGTCTTTGACTCTTCATTTTGCATCTCACTTCTGTATGTGTGACAAACAAAGAAGATACATGAATTCTAAGCAATTTCATACATGTCTCCTTTATTCATTAAAGTGAAAATTATTCGAATCACTTAATAATGAACAAAGTGAGAAAATATACCATAAAATACTTACATATAGTCCAGTTAAACAAGTTTTTGTTATTTACTTTCTTCTAGCAGTTATAACAGGTGTGTTAATATAGTTTGTTAATAAATCCAGGTGTAACATTATTATTACAGAACACTCTGTCTTAACTGTACTAACACTATACGGCATATAACATACAGGTGATATATGGGAACAACAAATACCCAGTCTTTAACATAGGTCACAGTACACTTATACAGTCAATATACAGGTAGTAGTATAAAGATATAAGCTGATTGGATATACTTCAATGCTTCTTTAGAATACAGATCTAGATTATTTCCCTGTAATGTAATTGCTCTAAATTATTTGTATACTTTAATAATATGCTCAATCGCCATATTCAGCAATTATGAAATGATCAGAGACAGGACATACAGCTACCTGTATATTAAATAAAGTTAAAATGATTTAATTAATGGTATTTTAATGAGTTCAGCATGTTAATAATATAATATTATGTCATTATCATAAATATATGAGATTAGTCCAGTAGTCTTCAAAGTTAGAATTTAATTTAAAAGCTTAATGGGAACATCTCCATTTAATCACTAGAATACATTTATGAAATGAAGGACCTTGTTAGGATATGAAATAAAATATATGATGTTTAACATGATGCATGAAATCTATCAATCCTGTTATTATATGACTATCTAAAGTACATGCTACTTTCACTGATTTCATGTCTTGCCCAATACCCAAAATTAGAATCTGTGCCTAGGGGATCTGCCACTTTGCATCTTTAAGATCTTTAGTATATTCCCCCACCCCAAACCTGGATCACTCTATTATCTTATTCATATACTGTACATAGTAATAAAAGTGAATACTAGGGTAGACCGAAGATTTTAAACAGAAAAATCAACTGCAACATTTGGCTATCAAATATTTCTGTTGCCATTTTCTAGAACTGTCAGTATTATTGTCACCATCAGGTTGCACTTACGGATAAATTAAACTTTCCAAATTTAAAAAAAAAAACTTGCTGTTAATATCTAACAGTGTTAATATCTAACATTTACCATTTTATTTGTGAGAAAATTAACACCACTTTATAATGATGTCCTGTTAGACATCTGCTTGTTTGAAATAAATAGTACTGAGTACTGACACTAAAATTGTCTAGAAAAACTGTATAATTCTGTATAATGTCAAGTAGTTTTACTTCAACTAGTAGACTTTCTAGCATTTATTTAAACTTTTAAAAACTTACCCTAAATATTTACATTACACATTGCTAATAGCACTTCATTCACACCCCCTTTAGTTCAACAAGGAAACTTTTATTATAGAAGTGGAAAACACTTTGAGTCATATAAAACACTTTGAGTATAAAACATAAAAGATGAAGTGCATACTAAATTTGTCAAAACATTTCTTAAAGTTGCTAAGTTTTTAACTCAATATCATCCACAGTCTTCGAAGTTGAAAACACAAATTATTTGTCAATTTAAATCAACATTGAGGTTGTGATCTTACCGGAAAAAGATGGGCTTCTGATATCCAATAATTAAGACGAAATAAACATTTCACCATTGGTACACGAATCATGTACCAAAAAGTGTTTCAGCGCCATTGGTAACAAGTGACTCGAAGAACAAGGCTTGACATATTCCACAAGTCATGTCAAACGGTAAGCCCATATTCTTATATCAAGAGCATGTTCGATAAATACTACTGGTGTAGACTGGAATAACCAGACGCTAGAGATTACCATTCGATTGAGACTTCACACATATTTCGCCAAACATAACTGATTTGAAATTAGAGTAAAACCGGAAACAATTGAATGTAAATCAGTATATACAAATTCATATTACATTATTATATGCATTGCTACCTATTTGTGTCAATTTCTAGGTCTCAAAATTTAGCAATTTAACTCCTTTAAGTACAAACAAGCACCGTGCCATTATGGCTTATATAAATTGGATCATTTATAATTTTAATTACTTTATTTTTCATATATGTATCACATTTATATATATAAGTCTTGGATTTATACTTTCAGCTGTAATCATCCTTCATAAAGTATCACAATTCTTGGATTTATACTTTTAGCTATAATTTCTCTTTTAAATGTATCACAAGTCTTAAATGTCCTTTTCTTTGAAACTTCAATACAGACCTTCATGGGTTGAACAAGCAATCAATTATTGCAAAGCAAATTAAAAAGAAATTAACGTGAGCCATAAATATTTTATATAAAAAAGTATGAGTGACAATCATGACTAAATTCGTCACAGGGTTTATTTAAAAAGAACAAAGAAAAGTAGGAAAACCACACCGTGAAATGAGCTATTGGATTAGCCAGTGGACTACAGGCATATTAACAAAACACAAAATTTATCCTTTGATATAGCAGTGTTGAGTGCAGATCACACCAAGGAGTATGTTAAAAAAAAAAAAACTATCTTCTAAATAAATTCTTATCTGATCCAAACAATATAATGTCCTACCATCATTGACAATGTCACATTATTTTCAGATTGCGATATATCTCAATAACTATAACTAGTGTATAAAAGTTATAAATTTCACAAGACGTAATTAGTTATCACAAATGTTAGTTATGAAAAGAACTGGATACAACTGACTGATTGTAGCAGATTATTATTTTACAGTTGGCTATCTGATCCTACCACTTCAACTGTGCAAAGGTCTGAAGGGTCTGTAGTAATTCAATGGTCAATTACATAATATTATGATTGACATTTTTATACATATTTCCCAGGTGTATCTCAGATTCTAGGTATTTACTTTATATGTGAAACTTATCATAAATATTCTATCATATATCTAAATCAAGCATTTCACCTAAAACTAAAGATGGAAGTACATGTAACCCTTCATATGAATATTAACCATGTTATGAACATCCAATATGGCACTTGTTTCTTCTAGTCCTTTATTTTGTTTTTAAAATTAACTTGTACAGTTTAAAGATACATTATGGAAGATTAGATAAAGAGCTGGCAGTTCCCACTATAATAGTTAATATTAGATGATGTAAAGGGAATATGCTGAAAATTTCAGTCAAATTGCTTCAATCTAAGCCGAGAAAAACTGATTTTAAAATCTTTGTAGGATCAATTGTCATTGTTACTGCTGTCACGATAATTAACAAAGTCTTGATTATCCATTTTTGCGTTTAATCATCAACAGACATTGAACAGCAGATTGGATTCAAATCCAATGAAAATCGGACTGATAAGAAGGCATCGAGAGTTAATTAATAATTTAGATAACATTTCATCCTAAAGAAAGACCTGCATTAGGCAGATTTAGCACTTACATAATGTATGTTTAACTGAGATGCACACCAAATTTCGCTGCAGACCTGTATTAAGGTAAATTTTTCCCATGAATTGGGAATCTACTCATGATTGTCTACAAGTTCGCCTTGAACATTTAAGAACCATGACACTAATTAATCAACTCTGGTAGGAAGTTGTGAAACATGGGAAAATGTAATCCACTTAATGTTACGATAGAAAGCCACACTTAGTATTAGATATATGTAAACTATATTTCCTGATATAAATTGATGTACTGAGAGATGGAATGTATAATATTAGACTCCACATTTCTATATGCAGATAAAAGACGCAGTCAATATTAATTAAGTAAATGAATTTTATTCCATTCGATTGTTTTTAATTTGGTTATTGGCAATAACCAGTTCTATGAAAAGATAATGTATCCATTATTAGGTAAAATGTTTTTCAGTAATGCAGAATTTCAGGTACATTTCGATTATCTGCTCCAAAATTAATCAAATTTCAAGGAAATCTGGCAACAGATAATCTGAATCCGACAGTCATCCCAACCATTACCCCTATAACCCACTAATTATAGGTGGATAAAAGATTCATTGCTGCACCATACTATAAGCAATACATTTTTCAGAAATATTGGACTCAAGATTGTGAGATTCCTTTCTTATTTGTATTATAGTCCTTTCAAGAAATGAATTTGTTGTCATGTAGAGAGAGAGAGAGAGAGGTTAACGTCCAATCAAACAAACTAGGTTATTTTGGTACTAACATATGGTTCAATTTTATTTTATTAATTTGCTTGCACGTAGGGGTCTTTAGCAGTGGGAGGAATTCGGAGGACCCGGAGAAAACCCACGAGGTTGGACAGGCAACCCTACTCCTTGTCACATACAACCGGGAAATCGAAACCATGCCAGATGACTCAATGACAGACCTCATGATGCAAAGCGCATGTGCTAACCATTCGGCCATCCGACCCCTCGTCATGTAAATAATGATTTGTGAATTGAAATGAACTGAAAACCATAAACAAATATATATTGTCCCTTTATTAATGTCAATGACATTAGGCAAGTATCACATTTTTGTTATACATGTAGTCTAACAGTTTAACTTGTTAAAGCTCTTTTCTAAGAAAAAGCAAGTTGATTCGTTACAAAATAGAACAAGTTAAAACTAGTAGTCACGTCATCTTTTCATTAGTTTTACTAAATACATACAATATGTTTATATACCGGTACTCACCTAATGTCTCTATTATAAAGGCAGATCGAACATACACGATAGGACAACCATCTATATACATGAGTTCACACAAAACTAGTATTTACTGAACTTCATGAAAACCAGCTATTTCCCATGGACAATTATAACAGTAAATATTCAATACCAGTTGTAGTAAACAGTTTAGCAAATTTAGAAGACCCACAATATTTTCAATGATCATAACAAAAAATTCCCTTAAACCATACAACCCTTACATCATTACCTTATTTTTATCTTATTGCTCAAGATATTAAAAAAACAAACTTGGCTGAGAGTTTTATTGCTAGGAGTGATAATATATACTCAATTTTCCCTTTATAAAATACTTTGTATAACATTCCACTATTGGCTTTTTACATGTAATTCCCATCCAGCTATTATACACAAAAAGTTGTATAATTCTTTTTCTTGTAATGATATAAAGACCTACCATATAATAGTTGTTATAAGTATATGACAACCAATATAACTATGAATATATACACTCCTATGCCACAATAGCACTCCTAGGTATAAATATTTAACTTGTATACAGAAAAATAATACATACATTACATATCATTT